AGTTCTCCAACTATTAATGGTTAGTCAAAGCCATCTGAAGATGCAAAGATTAGGTGGAGCGGAAATCTATACAAATGAGCTAATTTTGTCCGTAATATCGTCATAAATTCAATTTTTTGGAAAACGTTTCAAAAGAATACTGTTCAGCCTGCACTGCAGATTTGCTCAAAGGACATCGTACTGTGGAGCTTTAGTCAAGTCTTACTTTCACAACACCGCATTCTGCAAGTTGATGTTTGGCTCAGCATATGTCTGATTGGTCTTATACGTAATGAACCAGACTTCTGGAAAGTTGGTCTCTATGCCTGCATTGATAAGCGAAGTTATGCGTGGCTGATCGTGGGCTGTTGCATGATGCAACCTTAGAAGAACCATAACTTTCAATTTTCATTTAACCCAGTGAGCGGTATCACATTCTGGGCAATCAAACGAATATGCTAAATTTTGTCGGAAATCTGTTAATCATCTTGTTTGCATCGAATACACAGTGGCTCTCCGTCGCGGTGGAAAAATTCTTATGAGCAGTTCTCCAACCTCAAATCAAGAGCATTCATTGGGTTCACAATGTCCACAACAAAAGGGAGGCGCATGTTGACGTGAATATACACATTTCTATGATCTCTTTCCAAAAGTTACCCACAACTTTAACTCCCTGAGTCCAACCAGTTTGTAAGACTACTTATGAAATTTCCCCTTAAACTACACTACCGAAATGGAGTAATTTACTAAAGACGACACAGCAGCAGTCCCGGCTAGTTCCACACTCTCAACCTTAAGCATTGCGTTCCTAATTCAGTTACGACTATAGATATTTTTTCCTAAATAAAAAGTCATTGGAAATGCGTTCTCGGAGATTTGTACGGCATCCTGGAATTTATGGTCAGGTTCTACTTGTAGCGCTATTTTAACGACTCCATTTAGGCTCTAGTGAACACAACCAGCCCGTCCTAAAGCTACCTAATAGTGTGACAGACCGGGGAAAGACGACGACCAAAGTCCGTTCTCGTTTGACTTTTGGGGAACGGAGAGCCAAGTATCCACTAAGCAGTAGTAAGCTGCTGTTGTGATGTTAAGTGGTCCTGAAGGATCTGAATAGTGACCACGAAAATTCGCACTTTCTGCCACCAATCACTTCCACTGTGTGGTACAAGAACCGCTAAAGAACCGAGTTTTCACCATGATCGCCCGCTTTCCCGCGTAGTTGTCCGGCGGCTCAAACAGATTTGGTCAGTGCACCCACCTCGGAACCTTTGTGTTTGTTAAAACACGGGTTACTTTACGACATTCTTCTTCTAAATCAAATGGGCACCTATCACTCATTGAACCGACTACCTCAGTCATGAGCAGCATCAGTTCTTATTTAGGTCATTTAGTTTCAAAATGCGATTCGGACTTGGCTCTCCACGAGACTTTACATCCGATCACTAAAGCGTTCCAGTTCCCTCACTCGAAATCCTTCTCTTTTCCTACGTCCAGCTTTATTGTAACTTCTTCTTGTCTGCGGAAACAAACCTGGCAGGTGAAGACATTCTCCTGCATTTGGATCCACTTATTACCTTAGTTATCTGGTCAGCAACATAAATCTACCGCTCACTGAAATGGCCGGTTGGATATCCATCCCATCACTTCTGTAAATTCACATAGCTTGCAGGCTCCGGCTAACTCACCACTATATTTGTTGTCGACTGCTCTGCGTCCTTACACATTACGATCGATCATTCATGAGATTTCAAACCGCCTCGTCTGACTCTACCAACACCCGTGAAGTCACCCATCAGAGAAATGTAACCATCAATGGATACAGATGCGAGCAGATCCGACAGGTGATGATGAGATCCGCTTTTACGGACAGTGACATTTCTGAGCTGTAATTGAACTCAATCACTCTGGAACAGTCGCAGATAAGTGCTCATTAAAGACAAATTCTGTTTAACTATAGTGGGTAGGATAACAAAAACCAATTTGTTGAAGCCGCTTTTGGCCGAGTTATCTCGTAGCGTATTGCTTTTTTACAACTAGCAACTTTTGCAACTAGCCCAGCGGAATCGTACGTCCCAAGTTCAGAATCGCATCAGACGTCTTTTTGTCCTTCGAAAGCCACTTCCGTGTATATAAGCGTCTTCCTCTTTACTCGTTTTCTAGCAACGTCAACCGATTAAATTCGGGGACTTCAGATGTGTTCTGTGTGCCGCATTGGGAAGGGGTAGTTTTTACGGTCGACTCTTTTCAACTAAGGCTTATTTGGGGAGACAGCCTCACGACCTCTACATATATGGAGTTCCCGGTGGCACAAAAGGAGCACTCTTATTTTTCTAAACCTCTTACCACATTCGAACACTATATCAGACCATCAAGTAATACAGTTCTTACAGTAAGATAACCCGATAACCTTCATCAAAGTGCTCCTCGTGGCTTCTACTTCGGAGATCAACCAACCCAGATGGTGCAGCCCACAAGATAATTGCAAAACTGAAACGGAACCACCAAGACAAGTTGCAAAACTTAGGTCACACGCTGTTTTGCGCATTTCGCCAAAAGATTCAGAAATCCATCTAAGGATGTGATTCTGTATATTGGCTACCTGGCGTGAACAAATTAACACGGTGATTTCCTCTCATTTGTAAACGAAAAGCATCAGTTTGTTAATCGGAATGGTTGCGACATTGGTAGTACACAATTCATTCAGTTTGCGCTTATGATCACCGACAACTTTCCTGCTCTGGTGGTTCCTACGAACACTGTTTGTAACCAACAATCTACGACTCACTATAGCATAAACTGATCAGTCTGGATAGACAATGGAATTGTCATTTTATTAATCGGATTGAAGGAACTATCAAGCAACTCTCCAGTTAACATCGCTTACGTGCGTTATAATAATGCTGTTTCCTGTAAAAAAAAACATTGCACTTGACTTGTCCTAGATTTAGCATAATTCAGCTTTGAAAGGCAGTATTGTTTGGGATAAAAACCGCAACAAATCGAAAATGCAGTGAGTTCTGATTGTACTATCATTTCAACTATCCAATTACACGTATTCAACGGCTAAGAATAACAATATAGCGCTTTTCAAATGGGATAAGCGACTGGTCTTGCGGATCTGTTGGTCAATCCTTAGAGCATTTCTTCCCCCGTCCTTCTCAGCTTCGTCGCCAGTCTTCCGACAGCTGTGATTGTCTGGTTCCAGTTTTACAACGCACTATAAGTAGGACGTAATTGCCAGCACCTGTTGGCCATAAAGCAAATAAAACTAGAAAAGTACGCCAGAATAAACGTACTTGACACCGGATCAATGACCTCGTTTAGATATTCATCTAGGGTTTTTTTTAGATTTTTCCTAGTAAACCCATAGGACAGTGTAAAGTATACACGCATTCAGCACAATATCAAGACGTAATGTATGTAACCCCCGTTACAATGTCATTTGGATGATCCAACTTATGCTTCGCTGACTGGAAATTTCTATTCCTGCTTCTGCTTTTGCACAGCAATATCTCAAAGGTAACCATCACAGTGCAGCCCTTTGTTGCAATGTTTGGTATACAATTACGAACTTCCACAATCACAACGCTTCTAAGTGTAAGAAACAACGATGTTTTCACATAGGGAAGGTTTTTCTGAAGATCTCTTCTAACCATTTTCCGTATGTTGTCATAGTTTCTGCATCTGTAATTATGACTGCTCAATTCTAGATGAACGCCGTTAATTTTATAGAAATATTTATCAGAGTAGCCAGTAGGTGGACAAAAAATCAATGTTATAGTAAACTTGAAGGGGGAAAAATCACAACCGACCTTTTTCCATTGATAACAATGCAACTAATAATTTTTTCTATGCAGAATCTATTCGAATGTTTAGCTAAGCTACTTACATCTACTTACATCTTTGATCAATACGTGATTGTTTCGAGGTCGGTACATGTAGATCGAAGTAACAGATTCAAAATAGATTCCTAGATATTTTCAATTCAGGTTTGGAGATAAGAATGGTATTAAAGGATGTACCTATATAGGTCTGCATGTTATAAAACATATGGCATAGGTTCTACGCCTCGTTAACTGAGCGAACTCACCTCCGCTATACCAGCACACCCCTGAGCTACCGGTAGAGAACTCAAAACTAAACTGCGTAGAGTTCTTTATCGATCAACGGTCGTGTGCGTCCCCTTTGATCACTGCTCTAGGCCTAATTCTATCAGCTCTAGCAGTGAGTATGATGTTTTTTCCCCCAAGACAAACTGCCTTCGTAGCTTGTAACTTGTGTGCGACAAACATAGGTTTCGTTATCCTATGTGAACTAATGGACAGAGAACAATACCAAAGAAGCAATTTATTATCAAGCTCACTAGAATGGTCTTTTCTGCAAAATGCTGTGCGGTATTTTATTTGGCTTTCCCAATGAAACGGGAACAGCGCTGCTTCCAGCCGTGGTTCAAACAAGATATTTATGATAGATAGTGGCCAATAGATAGCATTGTGAGATATTTTTCTCACATGGCGTCTGTTAAAAAAACTGTCGAAGATACTCCGTAGCCAGTAGACTGCAGAACAGCTTTTTATCACTCCAATGTTCGCAACTCAGGTTTTTAGATCAGTTCATTCGGTGCTTCATACTTGCTGACTAACAAGTAAAAAACTGGATCCGTTGACAGATACGCAGTGTGAGCGCAGGCTGCCGGTTTTCGGATCGTTTTTTGTTGATTCTGTGATAAACGGTAGATAAAACCAGGCTAAGCAAAGTTTCATTGTTTGCATAACTACTGGTTCCTACTAAGTAAATGGCGGATTAAACAGAGTTGCTTTCCCAGAATCTAGTTATACTGTGTTATCGTTCGACACCAAAATGCTGCGACCAAATTATTTTTTGGTTATCGTTGGCGTGGCCTTCAAAAATTAATCTTTGGTCGAAAAATTTATTGCCCATTCTTCAGAAAACGATTTCATCCTGTTAAGATCAGATTGCAAATTAAACTTTGTCGTGCTCTTTTCTACAATCTAGATCATTTCACCTTGTTATCGGATCCCTCAGGGGCCCTGATTCAAGGCAAATTCGAGACCTATCTCCAGGATCTCCTCCGACTACCAATCAGTGTGTTTGAAGGGCCGAATTTCTTCTATACACCCCAAGCAGCACAAGCAATGCTCAGTGGGGCAAGTGAATTTTTGGTCGCTTACAAATTTTTAAAGATCAAAAATTAATTTTTGCCGACTTTTACTGGACGTTTTTGTTGAGCTGTTTTGTGAAACGTGGAGATGAAACCGATTTTAACTGCCATCACTCCCTCGGGGACAGAAATAATGGCCTTCTTTTTTGTTGATAATAGCCATTGCACATGACTAGGCTATAACTAAGATAGTCGGACCGAAACCAATCTAACGACCTATGGCAAGACGGTGCTAAATAAAAAAAATTTGTCACTTCGTCAGATTCATACACCGAAGAGCTCAGCTTTTGTTCCGACCAGAGCAACGCAAGACCTTGGAGGAGTACATGAAACGTTGAAGAAAACAGTTTGCTTGACAGTCGATGGACATAATTTTACCAGCTAACGAAACGGTGAAATACTTTTATTTAGTGAGTCCTGAATTTTTTCGGTTAATATTATGTACCAATCAAATCGTCTCCAAACTTTAAATCATATCTGAACGACACGACATCTCAGGCCGTCGGGGGAAGGAGTGCATTCCGCACATCCTTATTTGTACCCAGTCAAGTAGGTCCGGTGAAAAGCTAGAGAAGAAAAAGCTCAGATACTCAGAGAAGAACATATGAGAATCTCTCGATCTGAAAACCGCGCGTTCTCGAAGCCAGAATCTCCCCTTGCAGAAAGAAGTGTGTAACCACCATCAGCAATATATGACGGTAGTCACCTCACTTGGAGAAAAGCGTGGATTAGCAGGAATTTTCCTTGAGACTAACGCTTCGTGGGGTTGCTAACCAGTAAAAATGTTCTGCCTTCTGCACTTCAGATTTAGTTTTTTGCAGATTTCTAAATAGAAGTTGCTATTTTTCTTCATCGGGATTATTTCAGTCCGGTAAACATGGCACTGTGTTGGCCATGCTCAACAAAGTCAAGTCCAACCCCGCCAAAAACGTCTGTTGCCATGAAAATATAACAGTTCAACCGTGCTTATGATGTCAACTCTTTAGTCTAACAACTCACTCTTCATTTAGCGATCGAAAAACATTCTGATTGAAGATTTTCTGGAACGCATGTTGGCTGATCCAGGCCCCCAGCTGCTTGTATGGCTAACAATCTTCCATCGACTGGCTGCTGTTGAAAACAGTAAGTGAAGCAGTTCGTTCCTATGACTACATGAGTTTCTTTCAATATAGACTTTTGTTTCTCAGTATGTTCTTGATGAAATTTCTTTTATTTTCTAGGTATAATCACTACCGTTTGCCTTGAGGAGCTTTGAGGAGTTCCCAATAGTTAGTTGAGCTCTAGGGTAACTAGAGAAAGTTTGACCGTGACTTCGTTTGATACATAAAGTTAGACGATGCTAAAATGCCGAGAAGAACTCGATGACAGTTGTTACAATTTACCACCACAATCCTGTTACCAGTTGGATAATGCACTGCCGGACCGCAGTTGTGCAGTCACTAGTGTGATTAACTGGAACCTGAACAGTTTACACCGTCACCCGTTCCCCAACCATGCAATTCAAGTGGCCACGTGATCGCGTGTTGATTTCCACCTCACGCCATTTGTGAGAATAATTTTTCCTTCCTGAAGCAGTTCTATAACGCTTTAAGAGTTCAGAATTAAATTCGGACTCCGACAGCATTGAAAAGATTGGCCACAATGTGGTGTATAATATGGGAATTTGAAGAACACAGCGTAGTGGAATAAGACGTTATAATCCAAATTTTGGTTGCCTTGAGCAAATTTTTCCGAGGATTTCCACAATCAGCTCATTAAAAAAATCTGCTTATGGCAACAGAAGCGTCAGGTTATGAGAACTTGATCGACTATGCTGCTCTAGTTTTAAATCTTTGGCAAAGTTCCAGAGTGGTTTTCAAATTTGTGACTTACGTTGACTTCAGTTCTTGTGCAAATTCTCCTCGCGTCTTCATCTTATTGTTCCGGGAAGAGCATAAAACTAGCCGCTAGATTTCCAATAGTCTAGTCGTGTATATTTTCAGTATGTACTGTCTGGTTCCTAAATACATAGCTTACTTTATATTAAAAAGACAGCCTTGGTCAGCTTTGTTGATGCTCCCTTAAATAATTTGAACATATCAGAATAAAGCAATTAAAGTTATCCCTCCGTAAATTTGCAAGTGCACCTTTTGTGAAGCTGATATTTACTAGGAGTTCACCGTCAACGAACGCAAGGATAAATACGAATAAAAAAGAAAGAAGGCCTTTGCTTTAGAGTTATTTATTAGAAAACACCAACTGACCAGTTGCAGACCATTGGACAAGGAAGCAAAACTCTCATTTGCATCTTATTTACAGAACATCCATCTCCTCTTTGAACACGTCTTCCTGAACTTTCCTGGATGTTCATTGACTGTTACTCAATTGCAAGCAAACGCTACAAAACGACTCCACAAAGTCCGTATTAGATCTCACTTTTCAAGAGGAGAAAAGCGAATTTTGACGAGAAAACATGCTACTCGAGCGCAAACCATATTTGAGCAGTCTGCCGTTGTTAAGCCGTCAGTTGCTCAACAATTAGTACCCAATTCCCTTGCCCTCGTCAAACTTTTCACAAAACAGGATCTGATCTGTGTAGTTTCTTCATTGAAGCAAATAGAGCAAACGCAAATTAAACTTCGCCCTTGTAGTGTGTGATTTGGACAGCTTTTCTTTGGATATTCGTGGCCGTCGGAAGTATCGGTACGGGATTTTCATTCGTTAGGTGAGTACGTTCTCTAACGAACTTACTTGGGCAATATTACACCATTTGGTTTCTACCATCAGTACGACACAACGTTCGCTGCGAAGGATGTAAACGTGAACCGTTGTTTGGACTTCGTTACAAATGCACTCGGTGTCAACACTACAATCTTTGTCAAGATTGTTTTTGGACCGGGGTGACCACGGAGCCACACACGAACGCACACGACGTGAAAGAATACAGCTCAGCATCCGTGAGTGTTTTTTTTTACAACAATTCAACTTTTATACATTATGAATATCGTCAAACTGATTTCCCTACTTTTTTGCTGTTAGATGCTGAGACATTTGATATTTTATCTAATGAGGTGATAAAAATTCTCGTCAAGCGTTTGTGATGCGGTCCATTTAGAGCGGTACCTAAATCGGCTCACTCTCGCTTGTCTCCTACATTTTATGGCATTGCACTTGATGTTGCGTGTGATGTGGCTCACTGACATTTTGTTTAGCGCGGAAAGAAACGGACCTTCTTGCATTCAAACATAGTCATCGTGTGCTTTGCGCTGCAGTTACATAGTCACCTATAATTCAAAGTGATCGGGTTAACTTCTGGTATGACCTACTTGACACTCAGGTTCGTTTGAACTTACTTACTGAGCTGTCCATTCGAATTCCTTCCCGTTGGGGTTACAGAAATCTCATTCTCGACAGTTTGGGCATTCTCTGCGGAAATCTTTCCAACTCGGTCGTTTCACTGGGAGTGGACCTCAAGCACCGGGTAATGTGACTCCCAGTCAGACCGTTTCAGACAGGTCAAATGGTGCCCACCTCAACAAACGTCCCCCATTAGGTTCAATATTTGAATGGAATTCAGCACCCGCTTGTTTTGATGCAACTAATGTTACACGAAACGGCAGCATGCAGACCTATGCAGGGGTTAACCCACACACCGAAATCGTATCCAACGTCCCAATAGGAGCAGTTCAAAGCTCAATGTCTCTGTCATATCGTCCGCAACTGCCTACCACTTCAATCCGAAGTCCTTTACCCCACCGGCGACTTCAACAGCTGAATCCTCTATTCTTGTCTCCAGCAACTCATCCTTCTTTTGGTAATCAGCCGGTTGCAAAAGCAAGTAACATGCAGTACACTACGAGTCCAATCATGCCACCCGGAAGCGCTTTACCTTTGCCTCCCAACCCTAACCCTCAGATGATGACTGGAGTGCGAGAATTCGACAATACCCTTGCTGCTGGTCAGTCTACAATCTTTTTCGTAAACTCTGAAGTTAACCATGAATTCTGAAATGAATCTGATTTTTCAAATGTCACTCAATGCTGAATATGATTGGCTAGGTTCTCTCACAATAAGTTCCTAATTAAGTGGCTCCATAACAACCAGAGATTGGACTTGTACGGTTCACAAGACAGCACTGACTGGTCAGTTAGCCGGTCTAGGTCATGCCTTCACGCTGCTATATGAACACCGGGGCTAAATATTTAACGGTGAACACTCCAAAATGCTCACCGCACTCACGGATGTGGAAACCACGTTTTAGTTCGACATGGAAATCCAACTATATTTGGTACACACAAGTGATTCTTATGAAGAATATGGAGCACATCTCTGGCTCTCTTTGTGACGTAACATTGTGCTTAGAAGGTTAACAGGTTAACAAATTTGGAAATTCTACGCATAAAATTATCCAGCTAGCTGTCTGAAGCACTGACGGGGTCGTTGACTTAGTGACGTCATTATTGTGGATGCACACTCGGTTTTTGTGGGAGGTCTAAGTTTAACACGGACCTCCTGCCGTTGTAAATGAGCAGTGAATCAAGTGAACCTGAGGAAAGCTTAATTCATTGAGCTCTGCCCACAGATCTATCCACCCGTGGATTGTTGGTTTGGAACTTTCTAATACATGTAGACCTGTTTTTAACTACGTCATCTAAAAATATGCCATAATTTTTCAAATACAATTGACGGAACAAGAAATGAGTGACAAACAGGTAAACTTCCTACCCGTAGCACAAAAATGAAACCGTGGAGTATGTGCAATTAAGAACCACTTTGAATGACATTCACAAGTTATAGTTCATCTCAGCTGTCGACATTTAATAGCAGCTGCCCGTCCGAGAGGCAGCTAGATATATTTACCGTTCCATCACTCAAGATAACCCATTCTGATTTTTTCTGTTTAAAATCCCAGGACAGCCAGTTTCACATTATGGATTCGCGGTCACTACAGCACCTGATGCTCAACAGGCAATGCTTGTTTCGAAATGCTCGCCTTTGTCGATGGCAGTACCGGGAGTTGTTGGGTAGGTTTAGGCGCTACTGTACTAACGAAACCCTTATAATGTTTTTGTGCTTGGTAAGTTTCCCACTTTTCGCGAAATACGTTACGCCCGACGAGGTGTTGAGAGGTATATGGGGTAAAAGCACATGCCTTCATGGGGAAATGGTGTTTAACAAACAAAATGTACGCTTTCTTAAAATTACCCTTGAAGATCTTATGGAAATTTGACTGCCTGTCCTGTTTTTGACTGGTAAACAGAATCAAACAGTTGTTTTTGACGATCGACTGATAGCCCTGGCAGCTGGAATCTGCTAGTACAAATGATTCTGATTCTGGTCTGGTTGTTTCATTCCACCGCTTGGTTTTCTCTGTCCTACAACAAATGAAACCGAGTGGGATTTACCTGCCAGCTCTCATCCGACCACGTGTTTCCTAATTTGATAAAAGCGGATGAACTATGCATAGCCGAACGTAACGTCAGTCGCGAGCCTAGATCCGAAGGAATAAGGCTGTGGGTAAACATTCAACGACAAATTGAAAGTAGGCCCAATCCCTGTCAAGATTGGGCCCACAAGAATGAACATCAACACAGGTTATGCATTTCTGGGAAGGATAGCAACATCATCTAGCGGTTCCTGTCATCCCAATACTACGCTTGTTTTGCGACCTTGAAGCACGTTGTACCATAATGCTTCACATTTTCGCGCAGATTGTCATTTTTAGAACCGCAATTTGCAGGTCTCCTTCTGAAATTGTACGCAAGTTACTGGGCTCCAGGCGTTCTACGTCTGGTTGTGTCCGCTCCTCAAATGACCTCAGTATAGACTGAGATTAAAATCTACCAAGTACCAGAGCATCCTGCATGTGCAATGCCCAGGTTTCGCAACCGTTGAGAAAAGAAACGCCTTCCGGTGAGAGGCTGCGGAAGTTGTTACAAGACATTAGATGCGAAAACACATACCTCTTACGCATAGAGCTTCAAAAAAACGGATATTCTCAAGTGTCCCCTTGAATTTTCGTGGATTTTTTTAAATATTAAACAATAATAAACGAACATTGCAAATTGTCTGCATAATTTTTGTAGTGAATTTCAACTAACATCGTGGGAGTTGAGCTTGGATATCAAACCGGACATCACTCTCATTTTTCTTCAGTAGCGTACATCGTTACACCGCAGATTAGTGACTTGAGCACATACCCCGTGACTTCCATGTCTACGTTCAAGTGTTAGTTATACAAAACCAATTCTGAATATGAACGTTACATTGATCACCACGATTACTGAGCACAGTTCACTGTGAAGCCGTAGTCAGTTTATGATATGCTAACAAAGTAGCTGATGTCCAAAGTCCATGCTTACTTACCCCCATGTCGAGTTCAATCTCATGGAATCGAATTGCGTTTGCCACTAGGTGTAAGGTCAATATTAGGCCAACAACCCTCTGAGACAGTCAAGTTCTTTTCAGTACAATCTAAAATGGTTCAATTTTGCGTGAAAGGATTTGGTGAAGTTTAAAACAGTTCAAGAATTTACGATTTACGAAACGGTGAGGCTTCGGCCAATCATAAGTCACCCACTCTAAAATCTACGCTCGTCTTTAGAAACTCCAAAAATATTCTGGGTTTCTCACGCCTATGAGCTTTCGCTTGGTGGGTGGAAAAATTCGTTTTGCATTTCAAGTACGTAGTCCCGCGATTTAGCTTTGGACTTGATTTCTCGTTGCACTACTAGCAGTACGCCATCCAAATTGGCCTTCACTTCACGTTTATGCGGATAATCTGTATAGCTAAAATTCACACATCGTAGCTTATGTTGCGACGTTATTCTAGAATTTCGAAAATCTGGTCAGGTGTCTTTATTATTTTGGCTTGTCTGGCCGTTGCAGACAAGCGAAAATATTGAATTTCTGCTCGCTGGATCTCCTTCTGCCGTGCTAAGAGATCAAGCTGGCAATAAAAATCTACGTTTGACTTCGCAAATGTTAGCCCTGGTTATTTCAAGCGTTTCACAACTGATTTCGACTTTTGAACGTATTTAAAAACTTGAATTTTTGCAAAAATGCTCTTGTGAATCAAGGTGGATACTGACTTACACGTACATATATAGGTATGAATAAAAAATTATTATTATTTATTATTTTATTATTTTTATTTATTATTTATTATTATTATTTATTTATTTACCAAACATAGCTGATCTCACTTCTCGCCCTGGTTCAGTGGTGCCCTCAGAAGCTGTTTTATGTTCGTTGTTGCACCCACTGGCTTTTGGACGTGCCGTGGGCTCGTTTTTACACAAATCCTTAGTTTTGAAGTAGCTCCGTAACTCTTCTGCTTTTACAGATTCTGTATAATTGATTTTTCTCCGGGTTCGCAACGACCAAAAGTTTTTATACTTCTAAGGCATGGTTGGTTTTTGCCCAATTTTAAACCATGCCTTGGTGGTATATATCAAATCACACATGTTATACCACAAGAAATCCCTAGTTTCAACTCCCTCAGGCACCGTCAAGACCTAGGTACAGAAACAACTGGACATGGGTCCTTGATTTAAAACTTCATTTGGGAGTTGGTTACGAAAGTATGGTTTGGTGTCTGAGTTCAGATTCACTGAGCTCCTTGAAGCACACCAGGTCATATACAAATGTCTGGTGAAGCGATCAGGTCAAACTGTCGCGTCTGGCACAGTGAATCAGTAACCGATGGACAGGATGACCAGGATATCGTTGTTAGTTTGCTCTTTCTATGAAGCCCTAACGATGAATGTAGCACTCTTAATCTTAGCAAACACCGTCTGCACCCATTAACCGGTAAAATGATTTTCCTAAACTTGTCGATAGCCGATGATTTCGAGAGCCTCCGCTTAGAGGTTTGTTTGATTTGCTTGTTAACTGCCCGCAAAAGATTAGTTAGTACACTTTGAACTATCTCCGCTCTTTATCACACTCAGCTGATTAGGGAGAAGTTAAACTGCCGGCTAACGGGAAGATGCAGCTAACAAGTACATACATTTCAAATCACTAGTTCACGCAATTAGCGTGTTTCTCACCATTATCAGTCGGCATTCAAGTCAGACAATGAAAGGCGTCTGGTTTGAATCATTAATTTTGTGAACAATTTTGCAGGACCATAGGCTCCGGAATGTGGTTGCTGTCATTCCCAGCCCGAAAGCGCATGCGATCACACATGTCCATTGGTATTCATGTGGTGCTCTTTGCTACGGATAGAAACGTTCAGCCAGATATCTGCTCCGTCGTTAGCTGAGTGTGGTGCTGTGGAAGGAAACAGATTGTGTTACTAGTTCCTTCGAGAAAGAATGCGGAAAAAGGTCGCTTCTTCACAGCAATCGAACGTGCATATAAGGCTTGAATATAGTGGATGGCACGCTTGCAAGCACGTACCATCCAGCATAAGTGAGGGTATTGATAAATGGGTTTTGAGGAAAATTAGTGGGCGCTTTCAGCTGCCTTACTGTGTTAGTAACACGAGTGACTGAACCAGGATCTTCAGGTAACCATAAAGTCTGAGGGAGTTTTATTATGTACAACTGTACTGGGTCCTTGCATCAGCCGGTGACCTTTATGGCCCCTGACCGAGAGCAGAGGTTTGACACAGCCTGTCTCGCAAGAAAGTAGGAGAAAAAAACTATTGGTTTGTGGGACGTGGTCCGTAACCCTTGACTTAATATTCTGATTTTTAGGGACAGACTCTCACAGAAACATCACTTTATCAGTCTCGGTTGCGAGAAACTATTCTAGCTTGTAGATTCATGGAGTAAGCTATGTATGTGGGACATTTGATAGTGTTGCATACGGCAAACGAATTTAATATCATGTCTGGCTCTTGTAAGACTTAATTACTTTTCGGTCAGACTAAACAATTGGCCGACGGTCGTAATGAAGTAGAGGAGGGTGGAAGTGCATTGCCCCACCCTCCGACACCTGTTACAGACCTGACATTTTCCTCAAACGGGCATTACATTTCGCATAGACGGTTGCTATTGCAAGGTTAAAAACCTGAAAAAACTGTATATTTATTTCTTGTCTCTGGCGGAAATGCACAGCGAGCGACAAGCAGCCAAGAATCATTCCTGTTGTCACGTAAGGCTGCAAAATTATACACATCATTTTTCTCTGAACCGGTTTGCTTCGTCTTAATTGTGCCACCATATTAACACGTTATGAAGTGTACTGTCAGAAAAAAAGGTCTGCATCACATAGCTGAACAGCTGTTCACACTATTTGCCTAAAGTATTATATTAAACGAGCAACCCCGACTAACTGGAATCAGTAAACAGGAAGTGATTTCTTACAAGCCTCCTTCGTCTTCATTCAACTCTCAGTCAAGGGAAATTAGAAACAACTCTCAGTGTTATTTGTTTTTCCCTGGTATTGGGGACTTCACTCCATCCGTTCATAGCTGCCGCCAGGATGTTTCGTCAGTTTTGTTTATGACAAATATAAGATGTGGCAATACGAAGCCTTCGCCGATTTAGTGTTCTTTTTTTCAATTTCATCCTTCCTTTTTCAAGTTCACCAAACTTGTTTTCAATCATCTTCCAAGTTAAATCACTGATCAATCGGTTTACCACCTGGTTGTGATGCCGTTTTAGACGACGCTTGCCTTGCTGTTTTTAGATTTGTTTCAGCACTTTCGTCCTGTTGCCTCGATCTGCAACCTGCAGGTCTTTACTAAAGACAGCAATCATTTCTAGTTAACTGCTATTATTTTAGCAGTTCAGTAAAACGTATTTAGACGGTGCAGTACAACTGATCACGCAACAATTTCATATATGACGCTCAAATCTCTTTCGTGAGACACCCAAACTTGGGAAGCATGGGTCTAGTAATGTTTTGTAGTTAAGCTGTGTAGCCTTTGGTCAACTAACCAACTAACTAGTCAACTAACCTTCCCATTATTTAGCAGACGTTTCCACGTGCGCTTCAATGGATATCTTTTGTTTTCTCTTTCCAGTTCTGTAGGAACGAGACCAGGTGCTAACGAAAGTTTATCGGGGGTACAATCCGAACCATGGAGTGCACGGATCCCAGAACGTCCACAGATGGCTCCTGCTGGCCCCGGGCAGCCAATGCCTTCTGTCATGTTCACCAGCTCGGGTAACGTGGGTCGCAACTTAGACTTTCAGTGTCGCGAAGAACACGAGCTGATTGCACGCTATGCAGCTCAACTGGCTGCAGCATCTGCGTTCAACACAGAATTTGAGGTGAGCCAAAATTTCAATACTTTGCTTCCAAAACATTCGTCCTTCCGAACTCAATAACAAGAAACACTCACCATACACCTCACTGAATACAACAATAGAAAATGTTGAAAAATAACGGTTGACAATCTTTGTAGATCTGTAAAGCTGGGCATTAAGCTCCCACAAACAGAAATTTCCTTCTCAAGACTAATTACTTTGTTATGCCTTCTACGCATTGGCCCACAGAGAATATCATCACTGCGTATTTCCCAGCTGAGTTTCAATTTCAACGTGTTCCTCGTGGTTTCAGACACTTTTGGTAAAACCCTCTATCCGGCAGAAGTCTGTGTGTTAGCTCATTCATCAGCAGCTGTAAAAATGTCTTTTTTCAGGTGCCGGCAAGAACGCCATGCAAACGGACAGTGCCTAGGTTATATCTGGATCCAAATCCATTCTCGAATTACAATCAGACCTAGGAAAGCACTATTGATCTAATTTTTGTTTTATGAGCTTTCCTAGTGTTTTACGGGGTGAAATGGATTAGTGTAGAACAAGTGACATTTTTATGTTCTTTTCACATTGCATCGGATGAAGCTCAATTTGTTCTACGAATATGACATCCAAAGGGTTCAATTTCACCACGTTTTTGGTGGATTTCCATAAAAACTGCAGAACTGCAAGCTGTCCATAGATAAGAGGGCATTCAAAGCTGGTATTTGCACCTTGCTTGGCGTGACAAATCTCATAAGACTGTTGGAAACTATTCTACATCCACATTCTTAAAACTCATTGGAGTGTTGTCATCCCCGAGCTTTCCTCCAACGTATTTTTTACTTAAACATCAAGTAAAACGTGAGCGGTTACAGTTTCCATTTGCAAAATCACCGGACGTTAACGTAAGACTCATCAAAATATTCTTGAATCCCACCGAGCATTTGGGTGGTCAAGATCTCGAAGTATTTCTCCGGACGTAAAACTAGTTGTAGAGATGATAAGAACTCATCGGATCCCAGTACTCTATAGGCCAACATTTCACTGTCAACCTTCACACAGGGTCTTTCTGAGGATTTAAATTTAACTCACATTAGACCAGAGGAGTTTACAAGCTAAAACGAAACTGCTGGTAGTGAGACACAAAAATTTAGCACACACAAAAGTACTTTGCTATACCCAAGCAGTCTGCCAATACTGGTTTAATTACAAGTTGATGTTTTGCTTTGAAAATTTGCGTTAAGATTCCTGGCTGACTAATATCCGATATGGATTTACACTGCTGCAGCGAAGACACTTATAGTTTTGACAATACACACGGTCTGCAAGAAGCCTCATGTGCTGCTGCCTAAGCCTAAGCATACATTGTAAACTTGAAGGAATACGGTCAGAAGTCAAAGAATCAAAGACCATTTGCTGACACAAGAAGAGACGCTGCGATAAATGATGAATAACAGACTAAAACTTTCTACTGAATAGAATATCTGTACGACTTGTTACTCGAATAAAGTCTCTTCTTTGTCGCTTTTTAGCGTGCAAGTTCCAATAAAAAGCAACGCTTTAAGACAGCAAACGTTTACACCAGTTTCTGCACGATGCTCGCTCACACAAGTTTCTTCTGGCTGTGTGGCTAGATATTCTATTCAACTCAAAATCGCACAGTCCAGCCACAGATTGCTTTTAGCTGGTCAGAGGTTTTATTAAAAGTCAAAAATCAACTGTCAAATACGTGAGGATCCAAAACGCTTATCACTGTTCTCGCTTGTTTCCTTCATGGTCTCAACTTCGAGTGGCATCAAGGTGATTATCGATGTTATCTTTCCAGCCTACATGTAAAGACTATCATTGCTATTTTTCCATAAAAGTTTGGCACTAAATTACCTGAAATTCTTTAAAGATACTTAGCCAGTTCATAAAGTGACACGCAGTCAAGATCATGGACAACGGAGTCGTGAACAGAGGTTTGAAATTTTTCAGGATAAAGAACTCGTACACAGCCTGAAAGCAATTGCTGTTCAAAAGTGCTTCTTGCCTATTTGTGCATGACAATCAGAAAAGTAAAGGTGAAAAATGAAGCCGAATTTTGTCAATGATTGCCATTCATCGAAGCACTTAGAGGTTTCAGAACCTTTCTGTTATCGTGCAGCCTGAGTGTGATATGTCCTAAGATTTCAAAGGAACAACGTCAGTGGTGTACCGATTCCCGGAATAACTTGAGCACTGGAACTTTCAACAACGGTTGACCAGTCCCATATTTAACAATAGTTTCTTCAGGAAAGACCATCTGCCATCCTGATACGTTACCTATCGAAGTGGTCTTATCTGCAGTAATGTAAAAGCGAAACGAGATTGATTGTCTTGCCCGATTAGAGGGATCTTAATCTAGATGAATGGACCAAAGATTAAAGTTTTTCTTCAGTGATGAGAAAATGGGCATAGGCTGTTAAAACTCAATCTTAAATGGTGATTGAAAGTCAGACAAAGATTTTCATAACACTGTTCTTTCTACCTGAGAACACACTGCTTGATCTTTGAGTTTAAGCCGGTTGTATCCTAATTTTCGCATGTTCGTATTATTGAATTCGTTATTTACTAGTAATGGTAAACAATGGTTACTAAAGTCTTGCAAAATTTTGATGTGATATCCCTGCATGCGTGACCTGCTTTACATCCATCATTTAAATTTTGTGATTTTGTATGCCTAGAAATTCGGCGATCTTCCGGACTCCCCTCAGACGCAACAACAGCTAATTGCAGAGCTACAGGCTAAGAACAGGTGAGTAGGATTTGTCCTTTAAGAACTTGTGGCTAGTTTTATTCCCTAAAACCTTAAAAAAAAACCATATGTTTTTAAAAACCATATGTTATGCTACTACAGTTTCTCGGTGGGTTAAAACCTTAAATAACTGTTCATTTACAAGCCGCAGTGGCAGTTTCCGAAAACGTGCTGGGACCAAAAATCAGCCACGGGGTTTCTGTAAATCTACTTCAACATGTGACACTAGCCAAAACTGATTATGGTAGCAGTATCTAGTTGCAGAGAGGCTACCGAGGTACCAGGCTACTTGAAAATCCCGATGACCCGGACAAGTGATTCACCCGTATGAGTGTTACCTAGGGATTCCTCTTTTCTGGTTTAGGTGATTTTACAAGCGCGTATGGTTGCCATTCCTGTCTAAATCATTCAAAATCATTTACCGCCCAAAAGTTTCAAAGCTATTACGTTTCAGTAATATTTGAAGGCGGTAACAGTCAGAATGTGTTCCAAAATCAGTTGCACACTGATCATTCAGTCATCTCCTTTTTCCAAAACGAAGCCTTTTCCCGTACTCTATTGCCATGCCCTCGCCCCTTCATGCCATATTCACGATTGAAATAATCAACTTGCTTAAAGAAACGCATCATCAGAAAATTCCCGATATTCGAGCTTAAAAGTGAGAGGACGTGAAAAGCATAGGGGCCTTCAGAGAGATCCAAACGGACAGAGGATACATTCTTGGAGGAACTTCAAAGACCACTATCTGGCACAAAATACTTCAGTGAACGCACAAGACCATTAACATGGTGAGGTCAGGATCAGCTTTTCTTAAGGTGTTTTGTTTATAATAGGATGTTTATTGTCTTTGAAATATTATATTTTGCAGTTCGTGAATATTTTCCATCTTCTCGACAACGATGGACATTGTAAAATAAGTGCTCATAGTTTAATCCTTTTGTTGTGTGTTGTCTTGAAAACCTGTGCGATTCTTATAGCAGAACAGAATCAAAAATTTGTCATGGGGGAGGAGGTAAAATTTCCATAAATCCTTCTCTCAGTTTCCTCAGCTAAATTCACATTTGACAGTAGTATAACAATGCCGCGAAAAGTGTCCAGTTAAACATTTAATAACCCTGTGCATGACGTCATTCTAGTCATCTATGTGGAATCTGCAAGATGGATTTGGATTTGTTTGGATGTTTTGTTTCATGTGTTATTTTATTTCTGACAATACCACTGAACAGCTCACATTTCTGAAATCTGAACGTTTCTGTAAAACTTTTTGAAACCATCGAGCTCGTTTTGTTGCATTTTTGCTCTTGAAATTTCTCAATTAAGCTTAGATTGAAATATTTAGGAACGTTTCCCCAAGCCTAGTAAAGCGTACGCAGGATAGAATCAGCTATCGCTATATGTGATGTAAATGGATATACACTGGATATCTCCTATCTCAAAAACCCGTTTAGAAACTTGGAGAGCTATCCGTCTTATTTTCTATTTTCTTGAATGATTTCCCTATAGTTCACAGTGCACTGGCACTTGACCAGTCCAAATAATATTCATGATAAGCAACCCTATTGCTTGCCTTGACCCCAAACGAATTTATGGTCTCTCGAACTCTGTCCACCAGGAAAATTCTCCGAGAGATTGAACGACTGAGGATTGAGCAACAAAAACAAGCGGCGGTCATAGCGGCAGCTGGAGCTCCCAAGTCGGGTATCGCTAAAGACCTGGATTTGCAGCATGAACGGGCCCTCAGCCCAAAGACCATCTCTCAGTTCAATTCCCAAGATGAAGTGCAGGCGGTTGGTGAGAATCCTAAGCTGGTCAGTGAACTGAATGTTCTGCGTCAGCGAAAGGACGATTTGGAAGCTAGAATGAATAACTTACAGGTAAGTTTAGTAAATTTCGTTGAATCATTCCTGCCGGCAGCTCAAGAAATTCAGGCTGTAACAGATACTCGGACACCGGTCACGCCGTAACATTGTGCCAGTTAAAGTTACATGCTAACGACTGCGAAATCTGTGCTACAAAAGCATTAAATCTTCTGGACGTACGCTAAAATAATTAGTGAGCAAAGGAGGATTAGTTTGGCAACGCAAGCAACTTTCAAAATTACTTCATCTGTCTTGGGATTCTTTTGAGAATAACGCATTCATATGTGAACCATCAACTGGCAAACGCTCTATCCTGAAACTCAAGTGGCAAAGCTAAGTTCTCCAGTGTTCGGACTCATTCCCTTTGCAAATGTCGCTGACCACCATGTTGTTTTGATTTGAAGTGATATTCGGTTAATTTGAATGAGATTCCTGCACGGTACATTGGTCCTACCAGCAGTAATTGAAGCTTTTTGGTTATTTTATACACGATAGACTTCTTATGCATTCGGCAGAGAATTAGCTCATCTTGCCAGTAGAAAGGGAAACGCACAATGCTTGAACTTGACCTTGTAGTTCGCAAATGGTTGTGAGTGCATTCAGGCTTCTACACTTGTGACAAAAGAAATCAATAATTATCATTCTATGGGGTAAATAGAATGGATACACACTCCGGACTTTCTGTTCCGAGTCAATTCCTCGAACTGTCAAAGAACTGCGCCGTAATAATGAACTATTCTCATAGCGTTGTTCTGTTGACGTTAGCAGGGCCCCGCAGGAATTCCACTGCGGAAACCAGCTATGGTAAAACTTTGGTTATGTGGGGAGGAAGTAACTTTCTTTGTGTTGTAGTTTACTAAACTTGATTCGATGTTCATGTAACGCAGTCCTTGTTGTCCACCGGAGAGTAAACCTTATACTGTTTCATTTTCTTCATTTTGACTGACTTCACAATATCCAGGTTCTTGTCAGATTTTTTTATGTCAGAGAGACACAGGTGTGGCTTAGTGAATGGATAAGATCTGTTGACATTTAGGCTTCCTGACGTTTGCTGTTTTATTTTATCCAAACTTTTCTACCATAGCGTAATCGGACGGAATTGACTCTACAACTGGAAGCTCTTGTGCGACTCTTATCCCTGAGTGGGGGCATGACAACGGTTGCGCAACAAACCGCCGGGTTGCGTCTTTTGTCCCCCGATACAACGACGCCAAATAAATCCCTCAGAAGCATGCTTCCTGGAACTCCATTGGCTGATATTCGGTTAGGTCATCAGTCCCGCACTGGTACGGTGCGCCCAGAATATCCACCTAGGCGAAGTTCTAGTCTTTGTCACGGCAGTACTGATCGAGGAGGGAAAGGACCACAGTTGGCCTCTAGTTCCGTTATGGTAAGTACATTAGGCATTATTGCGTCCATTTTTAGCGTCAAAGTTTGTTGAATGGTAGTCAAGTCTAACTGTTAAACCCACTGGCCACATAATATTTTGGTTTCCACTAAAATACTGACGATTGTCACACCAAACATGTGGTCCAAAATGTGGTAATAAATTGAGTTCGTTGTTTACTGATAGCTACAGACGGAGGAATGGCTTCTTGTTGTCTGGCAAACACCTTAGAGTCACGGCACGTAAGCCCCTAGTGGCCGAAATGATCTGATCGAATCGCTTTGTTCAAGAAAATTATTAAGTTTAATTTGAGTAAAATAAACTGACTGATTTAATGTACATGATTTTTTTCCCCGATTAACAGTCTTTTGATTTAGATTCCTGCTACAAACTTGTTGTCGTGACCCCTCAACTTCTTTGGTGCTGGTTCAGTGCCAAGCTTGCGGCTGATTGCCGAGGATGATTTTGTTAAAATTGTGACGATACCGTCTGCACAATGCCAGTGATTGTAACTTACTTAGAGGTACGTAACAATACCTTCAACAACGGACCGGCACACCAAAAGACCAAAAGTGTAAATATGTAGTGAATAAACTTGAAGTGGCCTGAAGTCCTTCAAATGGGGCCAACATTAATGTTGTTAAAATAGTTCTCTACGATGACAGGCAATAACGAATAAACTTATTTCCTTGTATGATCTTCATCCTCTGTTGAGGCAGGGATATACATCTTGCATGATTTTACTGTTTCTTATGCAAAAAGTAAACAACCAAACGAAGAAATTGTCGACATTTAGCAGGATTAAAGGCCAGACGTGTCAAAGAAATGTACAAAACGGTTGAAGTCAGTTCAGCGCCCTTTTTACCCCATTTGGTTATAATCACTTGATAAAACTAAATTTTTGATTGTTTATTTTTCACAACTCTCTCAGCTTTTCCTACAGTTGGCGGTAGAGCGGTTCAGGTCATTATGAAGCAAAACCACTCGTAGTGATTGAGTACATTACTTATAATGTGACATTCATGGGGGCATCAGTGATTTCCATTCACGTACCTAACATGCATGCTCCAAAGATTACTGAAGAGGCACTTTAGTGGTGAAATTTATTACATTTCGCCTAAAGGGGCACGAGCATTGGGTGAAGGTCAAGCGGAAAACCGGTTTACAGGTGAACAACATTGTGTCAGTCTCAGCTATTCAAATTGATGACACAGACAAGTGAAATTTGATCAGACAGATAATTGCTGATAGTTTCGATTAACAGGTCTGCACGTGGATGATAAATAGCGTCTTTTCATACAGAATTAGAAGCTGTAACCATTGTTACGCGATTCGAACAGTGATAAGACTTTGCTTGCGAGTGCGCATCAAAATGCGGATAAATGTTCACCCAAATGCCACGAGGGTAGCAATGCCAGCAGGTGGACAAACAGCCTGTTGAAAAAGGTTATTTGGCGTAATCACACGTTGTGCTCGAACGCAGTAGTGCAGTTACCTTCAGATTTGGTCGACATAACTGCATAACCTTTATTCAGTTCCAAATATATACTAGAATTTTCGCCGACCAAAGATGCATGATTAAGTGAGAACATTACTAGATATTTTAGCTTGATTCAATGGAAGTTTTTTTGTAGGAGCGGTATACTTGTACAACTGAACGGTCCAGTCCTTGTGCATAACAGTGCCCAACAGCCTTCCACCCAATTTAAAACTTATAGAAAGTGATGTTTGCAGGGGAAAATAATGAGATAGTTTAGAAAATTGGCAAGTTAAGAAGGGCATAGCTTTGAATTCTTCACCAATGCATTGTGGTGTAGATTGAACTGAATATTCATATCGACACTGGGTTTATACTTCATGAATATTTCATCATTGTAGAATGAGTTCTTCTGTGCAACCTTCTGTGGTAATTACGCACAGTTATATGTCACTCGAAACCAAAAATAGGCCGAATAACTTATTTACGGTACTGCTCAAACCGATTCCGACAATCCAAGCATCTATAAAACACGCTTTGGTTTTCAGAGCAGCCGAATTTACTGCTCTAGCTCTTTGTGTTAAGGAGCTGCGAGACTGACAGTTCACACGTACATTTTGTCGTCTATCACTAGGTAAGTTTTCTGGTCGCTGGAGTGTTGGATAGCTTTTTACCGTGTACTAATTTCTGTAGATGTGGATAGAGCGAAAACGCCTGGTATTCAATATTCTGTAAGTATCGTCACTGAGGTATACTAATGCTGCACAGTAAATCCATGAGAAATCATCAGCTCTTGTCATATAGACGACCAAGACAGGTTTTTTTTGTGTGCTTAGGAATGAGTCAAGAGCAGTATAATTCTCTAAAACGAGTCTATTCTTCTACGATGAAAGAAACTAGTCAACTACGGGACATTCATAGATGCGGAACCACCACGCATCGCGTAGCCCGAAATCCCGGTTTCATTATCTTCAGTTCGTATTTTCACTGTGATCAGTTCCACAGAATGAAGTTGTGTACTCCTTGGCCAAGACCAATTAAGTCTGGGCAAAAGCTACCCTTTATTGTGTCTGGGGCAGTGCATTGGCATTCAAAATATATAAGGTGAGAGCCGATTGATGAATGTGGGACAAAAGTTAGGTACATTTCCACTTTGGTTTCACCCTTGTGAACTAACTGGGTCGTTTGAGCCGTCCTGATCTTCGGTTTTGAAGGCTCTGTTTTTCTGAAGAAGACAGGAATTGAGGGATCTAGTTCCGTCAAAGAGATTGCAATTGTGAGGCCTTCTGTGCCATAAGATTTTTGTTGGATCACGAAATCACATTGCAGCTATGAACCAGTTGATTCCCACTGAATTCTCTCGCGTATCGCTTACATTCAAACATCATTTCTCAGGATTCAAAACATGAACACAAGCGGTACGTCAGAAACCTCTCGTTGACCACATGGGAAGATATGAAACCCACGGACAGACCAGCGACTGCGGCTGACCTCTTACGGAAAAATTTACTCTCACCAATCAGTGATCTCATTACCGAGTCTAGCCTGACAAGAAGCCCGTTCAAGTGGGTCGATTTCACCGGTTGTATGTTTTCATTTACTTGCGATATATGCCATTATCTCCCTCTACAATAAATCCGAAGAGACGAGTAAGACATAGCGTATTAAAATATATATATATATTATATGTATAATATACATATATATTATATATAATATAATATAATATAATATAATATAATATATATAATTATAGTGGGGGTAATATAAGTGTAGTTTCACAATCGTTTCTGAACCTTTGATACGTAATTGTCCCTTGTGTTACGCTGAGTTGCGTTTGACTTGAACTCTATATTCATTCGCGTCTGGTGGTCGTTGGCTTGTTCGCTGAGCTGGGCAATTGATTGCAAAACATCACCAATCAGGTGACATCACCAGTGCGTTATTGGGGAGCGTAGTAGTGACTCCTGTTTCGCCACTTTTAACAAAGGGCAGAATATAATATCTATGTTTACAGTAGTTCACACTAACTTGTGGTACCACTCTTTCTGAAAAATAGGTACCTCGAAATATTGATACAGAGCGAAATGCCAAACTTTTTGGAACTGTAGTAATTCCCAACAAGCATTGCACCCGATGGCCATCGATCGTTCTTTACAGAACCCTTAGCAGAAAGAAATAATTTTCTGTCCACCAAATCAGGTAAAGTCTTGCGCAAACTAAGGTGAGTTTTCACAGCGGCGTCTCACTTAACTAGTAAGGTTATTCTGTCTACATTTCAGCAAATCATCTGAAGTCTCCAACGATGAATGGTTCAACCATGTGGGTGAGGGGCAAGTTCATTTCACAGGATAAGAGGTTCGACTTAAAAATAAACCTCTTAATTGATCAGGGAATTACACTAGTCATGATGTAGAATAGTGTCCAGCAAGGGAGGTGGGAGAAGGAGTGGATAAATCCAACAAGAATTCTTCGGGTGAATTGGGAACAAGTCCAGAGCATTAACTTAACAAGAAGTTAGCCACGAAACTTCTCAATGCTACACCGCACTCATAAACGTGCACTGGAGACTTAACGGTACGGTGGTGTTTGTCCCAGTAAATGGATATAGAAACAATAAATTCTGTTGAAGGATACAAGAACTAGCCTGTCTATGAATAAAAACACTCACTCTTACCATGTGAAAATTTACACATCGAAGTATTTGAATGTAGTGAGACGTACCAAGGTCATTCGGAAGGTCATTTTGAAAATTCGGATTTGACATTCTGGGAGGGGATGTTGATGATAGTAGGAAACCAAGGGTTTCTGAGCGTGTCAGTATAACATTGACCTAAGTTTTACGAATGGATAATGTGGTGCAATGACAACGGTGCAAGAGCATTTGCTTGGCCAACTAATGGAACTGTATCGTTTCTATCAGTAGCCTTGCTTCAGACGTACGGAACCTGAATTAATATAACACCAGCCTTTTTGCAGTGAATGCGAAAAACACGGATGGGCATATCTATTACAAACAAGGATAAGAAGGGCAAAAGGATCACCCCGATAGACAAGGTGGTTATGGGGCAGTGGATAAGAGCAGCGACCATTCACGCATTTAACTTGTGTAACGTCTGTAAAGTAGTCTTTGATCAGCTCAGTCCTGTTCACATCCCACGACAGTGAAACTTACACTAACTCTCATCTAACAACATTCCGAATGCGTCGGTGTAGAAAACAGACAACATACATGAGACACCAACCTAGGGTCCAGTGATGAAGTGATGAAGTTAACCAGGCAGGCTACAGCGTGTATGGCTATTTCGTAAAGTGACGTGAGTCTAGCCCCAGCAAAATCCACTTCACTCGACTCGGCAGCACTCGTTCAAACCGCTTTAGAAGAGCTTAGGTAAAGGATATTGAGCTAAACTTCACAATCTCTTTTCTCCGTACCAGCTTCGTCTCGGCCACTTGCCAATAGTCAAGAATTTTCCTAAAGAAAATGAAATTGGCTGCTAAAGTTGGTTTGCTGAAGTGACAGTATTGCAAATGATCGAAAACGTACTCTTGATGGATTTCATCTTTCGCAAATTCTCATACTGTCCCTCTGATGAGTGATAGTCAATTTGTCAAAATATGGGTAGCTCGGGTGTGTTTACTGGTGGTTGATCAGATGGCAGTTGATCTGTTCGCCAAAGTTGGCAATTGGTTTGCGCAACTGAACTGCGCACTGACGATGTCTCCCCGACTGGGGACGAAACGTTTGCAAGCCAATTGTCAAGCTCGGCGAACAGATCAACTCCTATGTGATAGTACATTCATCAGTGGTGGTGAATGATCCCTCGCTGCACATTTCACGGTGGTTTCTGACACAAATATTTTCGAGATTGTCGGAGTGCACACGATTTCTTTGCTTGCGGAGTCAATCCGTATCCCAGTTGGTAGCAGAGTAGAGGACCTGCCAGCGCTTATTTGGGTCGTCCCAACAACGCAACAACAGCAACTGTTGAGATAGCCAGTCAGGTGCTAACAGTGTTCCTATAGGTCATATTCTTATGCTGTAGAAGAGTCGGTTTTAGAAACAAAGTTTATCATTAGCTTGATCTTACCTTGTAAACACGCATTTCTAGCTAACACGAGGTCGTATGCAACTTAATTATGCATTCTACATAAAGCGTACTTTCGAGGACATTCTCAATATAATCTCACCTTCACTCTGTTCACATACTTCAGGACATCACCTTTAAATAATTCACGACCTATTTTGATGACACAACACATTACTAGAAATCACAGCAGGTATCTATGGTCCTTCCAAATTCTTACGCCCAAACTCAACGAACGAGCTGACTCCTTGTAGGGTTTCTTTCTGCGGACCGGTCCCACAGCTCCCTGACAGTGATATCTCCAAGTAGCTCTCTAAATCACCCTGAACCTGTGCAAGCATACTACCATCTATCCTTTCAAGGAGGACGGCTCTTCCAAGGTGTAGCTTTGTTTACTTTAGAGCCTCCCTCGGATAATTTAGCTTAAACTGCTAGTATTATCCTAACTGGAACACGTATTAATTCATAATCAAGTGTTTTCTATCGAGCGCTCTCCCACTCACTACATTGACTTTCAGCCCGGAGCCATCAACCAGAGGAACCATCAGCACCAGTACATTTTCGGACAGGCCCGAAAACCGTTCAGCGAATTTGGTCATCTCATCCACGAGCTCAAGTAACCACAACACCACAAGTGTTGGCAGCAAGTTTCCTCACAGCAACGTAAGTTCCAAAGCTGTTTCAACGAGTTCATTAGTAAAGATCATATTAATCCATCCACTCAAAGTTCATAGCAATATATTCAGGATTTTCATTGCCAAAACAAACCGAACTGTCTCACTGTGAACCTGGCTATACATGAGTAAATCCTCTGGTTTTCGCGTGTGCTCCAAATAAGATCCAAAAACGCTACTCGCCAAAATAAATGCTGTCAACCACTGGATGTGGTTTAACTGCTCTTGGGGGGTGTGTAACTTTATTTGATTTTCTACTTTGCCTGACATCTGCATTTGTGGCCTTTCAAATCAATTCACTGTGGACAACGCGCCATTTCAAAGAACTGTCATCTGAGGGCAACAAACCTGGATTATTGCATAATCCATTTGACTATTGCAACTCAGCGCATTGTGCAATTCGTCATTTTGTTGCTTTATTGCACACTCCCACCTAAGGTCACCTACCAGATAAACCGCAAAGCAAAGAATGGTTACTAGAGTTATCATTTTTGAAAACCCTTTGATTCATCAACCATACACATTTCGAAGGTCCACCTAATGCCATTCACATAATGAATCAACTGGCTGTGAGTGTTCCAAACGACGTAACATATTTGCGAATTCTGCCTACATCAGACTTCCTCTTTTTTTGACTATTGGTTCTCCCAACCCTGAAATCAGAGACACACCGTCGATCGTGATAGTAAAGACATATACAACTCGTTCATCCCCTTTTAGTGTGGACTCAGCAGAATAATTGCACCAGGACAGGAGGATAACTCTTCAAAACATTGATGGGAATGCGAATTCCACAAATCCTGCAACCAACCGCAAATAAACGGTTGTTGCCATTGTTGCAGTTGATGTAGTGAAGAAGTGTGGGTTCAGCCTCACTTGGCACCAGCCTTGTGTCTTACTTGAATGAGAAAATACACCTGATTTGTTTGTGATAATTAGTTTATCGGAGACCAGTTAACTTTAATTTCTTTGATAAATTGCATGTCTAGCCGTCCAATCCAGAGTGCCTGACTTTGCTTACGGTTAGTTCAGTGTGTAACAGTGGTATGGTCTGTAAGCTAGGTTTGTTACAAAAGGATGTAGATAAATGAGAAAGCTTTCTATTTTCTCTTTATGTACTCCTCTATCCGCTTATCTTTGTCGGCATCCCGCTTTGGTTTGTTATGGGACAGTGTAAGGCAAATCTGTATCTGTCTGATGCCTACAGTTCAGGTTAGTTAAACGGTGGCATTCAAAGACAGACATCGATGTGACGTTGTGCAGTCATTCTCCAGGACCGCTGTATGGAGGTATGCGCCAACTACTCATGACACAGCATCTTCAGCTGTCCAGAACACAACCATCTTCGGTATACTACAAACTTTATATGCTTGTTAAGCTGTACCGTAAAGAGCATTGTTTCACCAGAATTTCGTAAGTTTAATTGCTAATATTTAGGGAGTTTCTCAACCACCATAGACCTTCAATGAGTCGGGTTAGTTGGTCCATAACTCTGACCATACATAAGTTCATTAAGAACCAAGTCTTAGCAGGAAAATATTGAACTGGAATCTAGAAGGTCCTAGCCGAATTACAAAACATCGTAAAAACTAGCGAAATCCGAAACTTTTGGTGTATAAAATGCGAATTCCTGGTTATGGATTATCCTACCAAGCTCTTGTTATCGTCAGTGAAGTATGGGATAATGCTGAATCTGGTGTATACTCCTTTCCTCCTTATAGGTTTACTGGCATTGACTGACACGATTAATTTGGCAAAGTATGCGTAAATTGGGATTGTTGGTCTATATGATAGTTCAGTGAAAAACTAAACTGCCTTTGTAAGCCTAATACCACCATTTCTGGTGAAAGTGCATCTATAAGCACCAACTCAGCTATTTGCGGGAAATGTTTATGTGATAATAAGTACAGAATGTTAATGTGAGACCTATCACACGAACTGTTTTCCTACCCATTTATCCTCCAACACTAGCCCACCTGATTCATGGCGAGAAAACTACCAAGGATATCAAACTTCATGCGTGGACTGTGTTCCATGGAACAACAAAAATTTATTCACTTGCGAAATGGATGGTTTCAGGTTGCCGGCAAAAACGCTCCCAAAGAAACGAGCAAGCAGGTGAAGAATTATAAGTTCAGCAGCCAGGATGACTCCGAAAATCCCACAGAGTTATTGTTTGCAAAGCAATCCGAGTTAATCTATTGTGGCATTTGTACGCCTGATATAAATAAGGATGCGAAAAACTGGTCTTTGGTTGCGGCTCAGAATAAATAGCCTGAGCCCATCAACAAAGTTTTTACCAGCACCAGCACCCGATAACCAGTAAGATGACGCCATTTCAAGTGAGGGCAGACCCATATTGATAGTTGCAGCCCATCGAATAACAGTGATAAAAGAACGAAGTTAGCCTCTATTTTCTTAGTGGTAACATAGCGTCCCTGTCTTTCTATGGTCTGAGAAACAAACGTTCCCGTCGACTGAACAGATTGAAAACACCAGGTGACGAACGCACCATTTGCCAACGTAAGTCAAGTTTGTGCTCAGTTGACATACCCAGCCTAGTGATGTCATTGCAGGCAAACAAACCTAAGCAGTGTATGTTGCAAGAAACAAGCGACAAACCTGTTATCCATCCCTTCCTAAGTGGGAAGCAGCGTCACATTAAACCGATGCAATCGAGCGCCACGCTTGAAGCCAAACTGACGAAACTGGGAATTCCCACTTGTTTGATTGTTCGAAATCATATCCATGAAAACAGTGATCAAGTCAATTCGCTCCCTCAGGTCAGTACTCATTAATGAGTCTAAGTTTTCCCAACTAATGACACCTTCCTGCATTCCTTCTGTGGTTCCCGGTTATTCTGCCTGGAAATTCGCAGACGGACCGTGGTAGTCTTCCAGTGATCGTCAGAAAGCGACGTGATCAACATTGACCACACTTAAACTTCACATTATACTGGGGAAGGGTCAACCACTCCTGATCGAATACTACTTGTTGCGTTCATTCATTCTTGTAAAAATTGATAGCGATTGGAACTCACAGTTTCCCTCGTCAGTTGGCTTATATAGTAGAAATTGACCAACCACGCACGAATTACTTTTAGCATGTCTTCTAGGCGTCAAAATTTCCAAGAGGGACAAAACGTAATCTGAAGCTATCTGTTTTTTGTTGAAATTCTGCTTCCATTCAGCTGTAGCTTAGGCCTGTATTAACAAGTACATTCTTTCTATCCTTTAACCCACACAGCTGAACAAATCACAACTCTTGAGGAAGCCAAATAATCTCACCGATAAAACACATGTTTCGCACTATACGGACAGTGGTTCCGAAGCTTATTTATACTCGGATCCAGAGGTGGGGACTTCAAGTGGATTGGCGTCTTTGACTCGTGGAGGAGTCAGTCAGTCTTGGCGAGCACAAAAGCTCCTGCCGAGTGACCGCTCGCCCGTACCCCAGTGTTCAGATAACTATGAATACCCTGGATTGTTGCATTCTGTCTCAGTACTAAATGGGTCGGACAGATCAAGGCACGATTCGAATAATCCTACGGAATTTTTGACCGAATCAAAAGGATAACGTGTCGTTCCCAGTCTAACATTTCCTTTGGAACGGAGGTAAATTTGGTAAATTTGCTTATTTCAACTTCGTGTGTAACCCTTGGAAATAGCAACTTCTGAAAAAGTTTGACCCCTTCTCAACCAAGCAACACCTCTTATCAATTATGTTTTAACGCTAAATGCTTCCGCGGAAGGAGAATCCAGGGATAGTTAAAAAGTCACTTCTCGGTGGTTTCTGCGTTTTTGCTGGGGATTATCCTACATAAATTTGCAGCTACATAGCGAATTCTGGCATTATTTATAATCATTTAGAGGAGTTTTTGTATTTTTGTTCTATTAACAGAAGAGTGTCGTTTGTCTTCAAACATTTAACGTATGGTTGTGTTCAAAGTGTGTTAGACTGGAACAGTAACATTTGCGATTACCCAGTCACAGGAGCTGGAATCACTCAACAAAAGTACCAGTCAAACACCTTAGGAATATGGCTATCGCTTCTGTGATCTCCACGTTTAGTGAATTGATTTTGAGGGTAAAGGAGGACTTCTCATATTCATCAGCATTCCGACATATATTTCTGTCCCCTGTTGTGACACCTGCCAGATCTTTGACAGCTGAACTCATCAGAAATGCACGGGAAGCTGTTTGGAGGAAGCAACTAGCAACTGGCCTTCGTAAGACATGAATTTAATGTCAGATTGCAGGGGTGAAAAAGTCGAATGTCTATCATAACTGAATTTCAGGCTTCTCAGTTAGTTGTCTGCTCGGAAGCTCGGCAACTCAACCGCGAAGGTTTGAAATTATGGTGGCTTCTTCTTGGAAGATATGACGTGTCGTAAAATATCTTGACGCTCCCTAATACCTTACCAATTACACGAATTGACAGGGGACTTCTGACTAAAACAGCGTTGATCAAGCTTATAAAAACTTGATCTTCATCTAATAACACTTTCAGACATGATTATCTTGATATGGTACACATACGTTATGGTCTCACGACGACCGTCTTAGCGTGGTACACACATCTGTCGGACCTTAAAAACTATACGATAATTCATCGCACAGATGACCTTCGCCACTGTCCCATATAATTTCGTCACAACGTGGTAAGTCAGCTGATTTCAATGAATTTTCCATCTCTGGAGACAACCGGGGAAACTGACCACTGCCGGCCCCGCGACCATCCCTGTCACATTCGATTTACATCGTGGGGCCAATCACTTTGCATCTCATCGTACGTACCCAAGTTGGATGAGATCAGATTAAGCACTGATTACAATGGCGGACCCCATAGGATCAAAATCAAGGGACTTATTTACACAATATCTACCATAAGCAGATCAACAAGCAGAGGCTCGAATCTCGGAGAAATGCAAAGTAGGAATGAAAACGGACTCACCAGTCGGTCAGTATGCTTTGAAAACGCTTCACACTCCAATAAGCCTATCACAAAAAAGCCATATTTACTTCGTAACCCATTTTCTCAGCCTCTTCAGTCCACCCTACTGCACGGTCCGGCCGTGACAACTGCTACGCTGTGATACAAGTCTATGTAAGCTCCGAATACTCATCGTCCTTCTTGTGGCCCACGCCATTTATGTATTCTCACACCCAGTGGATCATATCATTCATATGAATGAGTGTGGGAAGTGTGTGATAGGCCTGGCGAATCGCACTTTTCACAGCGGACTAAATGAGTTATGGGCCCATTTTTTCAACCTTAGTCTGTACTCCGAGACCTGATCCCGTGTCTAAAGCCTTGGCTCTGATCAACGAACCCGTTGAACTGGATTCGCTAGCTATTGCTGATGGCACCTGGGCGTTTGTCTAGCACACGTGACTCACACGTGAAGTGATCAGCCCTTCCAAGCGAGTCGAATGTGACGGAGACGACAGTTGGACTGGTGGCTGTCTATCTTTAGGATAGAGAATGCACTGGATTAAGTTGACTCAATAAGTCATGGTGAATTTAAATAAAAGTGGTCAAAAGCTTTGAGAAAGTGGTGAAATTTTCATGGAGTTGATACAGACTATAGACTACACAAGATCCTCAGACGGAACAGCGCAGGCGCACATGCAGGATAAGCAAAGTTGGAATCAACACGAAAGTGAAATCATCACCGAAAACTTATTGTTTATTATCAATGTTCGAAACAACATTGTTTCTGTTCCTTTATCACCACTGATTAAATCAGGGAGGAAAATTGGTATTTCATTGCTTACAACCATAAATATTGGAATGACAAGTCAAACAGCTGTGCGCTGGCGACCATTTTGGATGAAAACGGGGAGATTATACCGTGGGACACTGAAACCTAGGATCAGCTGTTCCAAACCACAATTGTCGCTTTTTCACTACACGGTATAGCATCTTGACAGCTGAAGGCTAGGCACAGTGTGTTGGTAGGCAACGTGTATTATTTCCTCTCTTCAAACTGCTAAGGAAAATCCCAGATTTCATATTCATTTCAAAATTCGAGTTTGACAATCAGGTAGGGTTTTTCCTGCATCTCGTCTGGTTTGCACTTACCTTGGCTATCCTCAAGAAAGCCATGAGATGATCAAGTCGATGATCAACACAATTCTCCATCTCATGGGCACGTAGGAAGCAATATGCAGTGACTGCACTCACCAGATTTCATTTGCTAGAACCGCATCATCATGCATAACTCTCTACTTTTTCTCCCTCCAGGTAACACACATGAAATGTCCTGTCTCCGGTTGCAGTGAACAGTATTTTGTATACTTGCTTATCATTTTCTCTTCATGCAACGGCACACCCCGCCATCAAAGATCACCTCAAATTATGTTGTGATTTTGTAGTATTATTATTATTATTCAAAAGCATTTATCTAATTCGATTGAGTTACTTCATTCCATTTGACTGGGTAGATTTTTGGACCGCTCTTTCATACATATTATCAATGCCCTTCTTTCTTTCTGGGTTGTTCCAACCATTCTCCGACCTCACTAGCCACTCCGTGGTTTGGTGTGACCTCGACATTTCACCAGGCATGTACAAAACTTCTCTCCATGACATACTTCCCTTTGAGTAATTATATCAGTCTTAAGTACCATTCCTCAAAAGGACCTGTTTCATTTAATTTTCTAAAGAAATCTCCAACAAACTTCTATCATAATTCAAGCTCTGAACATCTTAACTGTACAAAATCTATTACACTGTGAATTGTTATCAGTTTTTTTCTTTTCTTTCAGAATGTGGAGAGTAATAGATGACAATAAAATTTAGGCACAAACACATTTTCTGTTAAAAACCGGAACCATTCGGCGTATTCATCTTCTGCTACTAACTTTTTAGCACAAGACACTTAAAAGTAAAGCAAGCTTTCATTTGGTTGGGCAAAAGTGACTCGGGAAATCTTCCCAGCTCTTTATGATTCCTACGGAGGTCCTGATAAGTAAAAGTCTATAGGCTGAAAGTTTTTAAGTCACAATCACAAACCAGAAGTGGTCGGTCCTGGAGAAGTGGTCCGGGTCGGGTAAACTGTCCTTCAGATACAACTATCCAGCTTTTACCCTCATCACCAGGCTATTCTTCAGTTGTAATCTTTTCAAAGAATTTAGAAGGAAATGCTGATCCATGAAGAGAAAGATTGCACTTCATGTGTTGTGCACACTGGGTTCGGTGGCCATTTAACCTGAAGAGTCTTTGAATAAAGAGTTTGAACTTCGAACCGGGACCTCGAAGCATGCCTCAGCTCCTCCCCTCCCCCCTCCGTCAGCCAGAGTAAACGCTTAACGGCGCATGACATATCTCATATTCTTAGGTCAAGACCATGTTTCGTTATCATTAAGTGCACTCCGCCTGACCCACTATAGCACGCGTAAAATGCACAGGGCAAAAACTGCCGTGCAAGGAGTTATGACCAAATGGCATTCCGGTACTCACAAGGAACGGGTTTCCAAGGATTACCTTGACCCCTTTTCTCTGAGTTAGACCGAGATTAAACACAATCACCTTCATAATTAGAAGGTCAGTTACTGTCTGAAATCAAAGATTGTGATTGGCTGGACTAACTGATCGTCTGAAGAAACTACTGACAGCTTCAAACTCGCAATGAGTGTATTGGTGGTTCGAAAAAGACAGTTTCATGTCCAAAGGTGCTGCTGTGGAATGGTCGACAGCAGGACCCAAAGAGGTAGTGAAGTAAGCTAAACGGCCCGGCCCTGAATTCCTTCCCACGCAAGCAATATGAACTCACCCGAGTGTGATGCCTCAGAAAGGCGAACAGTCTTCTCGCTCAATGAGTTAATCGTGAATAGCGTCACGATCATCGGTATACTGAGAATTGCTGATATGAATCCTCCGATTATTGCAGCTTGCAGACTCGTCTATGATCTAAAGGACAATGAGTAAGCGAGCAACTTATATCAAGTTACCGCATTTAGTCACAGTGGTAACACTTGGATTATTTCTGTGCAACCACCTCAGAACAGTAAACCCATAGTAAATTGCAGTAGAGAAAATACTCTCTTCTTATTCCAAGAGAGGATACCATTTGGGTGGCTAAGGTTTTTTGGACTGGCCAAGTATAATCTCATAGAAGAACGATTTTCCAATCTAAATGCGCCCTGTTCCTCCCTACTTCGCAGTATTGTCGCTGACAGACGAGGAAGAAAGAACACTCCCTACAATGGCTAGAATGTATCATATCCCACAAGGTAGTTAGTGCAAAATGGTGAACATCTACATCGTATGTCGGCAGAGTGGCGAGAAATATACATTAGATTCCACCAGGAAAATTGCACCGAGGCGGAAGGAGGCCACAGCTAACACATCAGGGCGTTGGGAACTCCACATAACCCCGACACCAGTGTTTAAGTAAGCTTATGTGTTGGGTTGATCAACAAGTATGTCGGCATTGAATCTCACTTGACCTCATTATAATTTCATCTGTACCCGTCATTCACCTTGCCACGAAGGTCGTCCCGTCCTTTCATTCCCACTTTTCCAACTTTACAGTGAGAATTAACAAACCAATACGCAGAGTGGGGAGATACTCAGTGCCACATGTACTACTCCGTCTACCTTACTATTTAAATGATCCAGGTTTGCTGTTTAATGACTTTTAAACAGCTCAGATTCATTATATTTGCATTATCCTTACTATCAGGCCTACATTTCATGGACGCATATCTTCAGACATTCACGATAGGGACGCCATTTCTGCGACGTTATTCGTCATACAGCACGACAGTTCCGCTCAAAAAAGATCTATTTCGTCCACGTTGTACGAATCGCCAGGTACACCATGACTGCAGTCTTACCAGTACATCGAACTGCTAGTAGCTAGGGTGTGAACCCTTATGATGTCTTCACACACTGTGATCAGAAGTTTGCAAGCTGATTGCGAAGCTCGGCAAACGGATCACCTGCCACGTGATCAACAATCAGTACTACGTAGACTTTTTTGCATGAACTTACTTTATCGGTGGATATGTTTTCCACGTCAGTTCAGAACAGTTGGCTGCGGATCTAATAAGGGGACTGGCGTCTCACGAGCTAACCACAGATGAAAGTCGAAAGTCCCACTTAATTTCCTTACTCCGACGCTTTCTAACTCAGCTGCGCCGAAAATCGCAGCTTATCTTTTGTGAGCACACGGGGACCATTAGCAGGCCTCTTGCATTTGATGTTGCACATCGCCGTGATCTTTGTACCCCGCCGAACTCAAAGTTCCCCAGGCGCATTCATTCTTCCGATGGATTTGATTTAGTCAGCTGCAGTTGCTTGACAATGTCCTACATTGACGAATCGGATTAACTAACTGGATTTCTCTATTACTCTAAATCCTCCCATATGTGGTGCCTGATTGAGATGCCGGTGGTGGTTCTCTCCAATGGGTCGGGTTTTATCACGGATACATTTATAAAAAGGCCCATAAATCTAGGGTGAATAGTGGACAGTTTGGTCGTTGATTAGCATGCAGATGAAACTCGACTCACAAAAATCGGGGCAAGATGAGACTAGAATGAAACAAAACTACTCGTGCTAGTTCTGCGAACACAAGCATCGTATTTCGGATTAGCTGATGGTTAGTTACGATCACCGACATGATCGGCTTGAGGCGAATTACCTTGGTTAATTTCATGATCGTCTTCACATGTGTTGTCAAAAACAAAGCACCAACAATGCGTTAGCATCCGAATCGGCCCACTTGCAATGTCCTCGGTGTTAAATGGAAAGATCCGCCAGTTAGCAGCTAAGTATCCCTTTAAAGTCAAAGATGTATTGAGGATCCCTTGTCCAGCTCGCTCATTAGACATTAGACAAACAGGGGCTCTTAAAATGTTTGTAAATGCTAGGCACCCGTCACTGGAGTTTTTATGATGGAAATAAATTCAGATTACCAGTTCTGGCTAATAAGTCAATCAACACATATGATAAACAGAGGACAGCGAAATGGTCAAGCGAACAGTCTGGTAACCCATTCCTGAATTCGCCCTTAACTCAAATCCATCTGGTTTCAATGCAAGTTTAATGCAAGCAAACCTTAACTATACGTGTTCAGTCACAAACTAAAAACTTAAGCTCATCATCGGTTATCAAGTGGATTGTTCCAAGAAAAGGCAAGTCAATTATTCAAATGTCTGAGGAAACACTAAATTGTCGACAAATTAGGCTGAGTTCAACCAGGTCCAAACACTGACTGCGCGCTTCATCACACATGTTGTTGAGGTTAATATCCTTATTGCTGGATTATTTACTCACCCAGAGAAATGCAAGAACGCAAGAACTACCGGACAACGCGTCAACGTGGAGGTCGCAGTAAATCTTAAAACGCTTATAGCGGCTGAAAACCCGGTTGTTAAAACAGATTTTACCTACTGAACTTCACGGGTTCACTCCATGTTAAAAATCGTAGCCCAAATACACAAAGAACACAAAATTTTTAAAAAAATAATTTCCTCACATTTTCGTGTAAAACAAGGTCTTATTGATCAGCTGCTGCATCGGCTTCATGCAGGAAAGCAGCTTTGTGTTGGTTTTACAGCTTGTTCTTTTTCACATCCTGAAAACACTGTTTTGTTTCTGTCTGTTGGCTAACAAATACGATGGATCTCTGTTTGGAAATCTCCATCTATCCTACACTCCTATGTGTAGGAATTCACTGGTGTGATGTTTGTGCAAGCACACCCAAAGTAGGTTGAGTAAAATGAGACGGTGAAAAAGGATGTTTCTAAAAACATCACGTGAGCATGTGCCTGGACGAATAACAGTCGCAGAAGTTTTCTATTTATTTCCCTCTCTCTCCCTCTGTTGCTCGTTGTGTCCAAATACGCTGCAAATATCTAAATGTGGACCTGTTCGGTTAAAAAGGAGCGGATGTATGAAAAACAGGAAGGGATTCTTGGTGAATACCTAAACCCTGATCAATGGTGCAGTGGTCGTGATAATCGCACCTAGACAAAATCTCCTTACTATCTCTCCCAGGATAAATTGGTATATTTGAGGCCACGTTTGTCAAGCATATGCTTTGATTTCACCGATTTTTCCGCGTTATCGTAGAGAGTGGTCATGCTACAGGTGGAGCTGAGAAGAGCTTCTGTGCTGTCTAGCTTGAGGAACAGGGGTTCCGTTCGAGGCACACTGACTGTTGGTGAAGTGACAGGCTTTGCCTGTTGTTCTTCTTCAGATGCTGTCACCGTTTCACCCTCTGTCACTTGTTCTTGTTCCGGTTGTCTGCAGATTCAAAGAAGAGATGTAAGCAGACCCGAATGTTCTTCGAAGGTAAAAAGGTCATTCACCAAAAGTGTGCGATTCTGTTTCACGGATTTTCAAGTTTCCCACCCTTTTATAACTAATAAAATTGGTTTACATGGGAAAGGAGGAACCATGTAAGAACCCGTTTAAGAAGAATGAACAATGAATCGGTTAACAACATCAGATAATGAGTGAATAATTAAAAAGCACACCAAAGCGTAGAACTTAAAAGCGTGTGAATAATCCATAACCACGTGGAATCATGAATGTTTAGACAAATGGATGCTATTTCTAATTTTGAAACTTGGATGAGATTGGAAAAACAGGGTGGAAGAGAGGCGCGCACTTCGACTGAACGATTGTGAAAGAGAAATTCCCCACATACACTCCCGCCTCAACTTTCAGAAATATTGTCGTCACAGTCACATTTTTCCAACCGACATCGAAATTTATAGTGAGATTAAGTAAGATCTCATGGACCATTCACGGTTTAACGTTTTAGACCGAATCACTCAAACTAGGTAGACCATCAAGCCGAAACCTAGTACCATCCTGGACGGTTCGAAATTTGCTTTACTTTACACTAACCGGCCATTAATTTAAGCAGTGATTCCTCAGTTCATCAGTTTCACCGTGAGTTCATAGCTGAGGCATGTGGTGTAGTGGATGAAAAGTAATTAAACAATACAAGTGACCAGATGGTACAAAGATTGTGTGGTGATGATGTGATATTACTTATCTCGTGTTATTTTCAAAGTACGCCAAGAGCAAGGTTCATCAGCAGTATATCTATCCGGCAAATTCATTTCATACGAATTCCAGTTTAACGAGAGACAAAATATACCTGAATCTCTCAGTTATGATTATTTTCTTCTGCTGGATGCAGTTGAGTCCCTCGTCGAAACCAACTTTGCATGAAGCTATGTTTGTGGTCCAATTTAACGAAATGTCTGAGCAAGAACTCTTTTTACAGGGAATATCAAGTGCTGAGCCAGCAAACCGAATTCTATTTACCGGACGAAGTACAGCTTCTTCTATGTGCGAATGGTCCACATTGCTCTGATTAATCAAGGCTGATGCTCACAATTTCACCACTTATAGAAGAGCAGACAGTGTCATGAGTAGATAGAAACACTGAGTGCTAACCGCATACATAGAAAAATTTCTTGAAGTGACTTAGTATGCCTGGTGAAACGGCAAACGGACCATTGCAATAATCAACCACGCAGCGCGCTGAACATCCTCATTTTTTATGTTGACAGTGTAAAAACCGTTCTTCCCTGTTGCGCCCCAGAACAGCGGCGGTAATATTAACTATATCGTCACTGAAAACTGTCCCGAAACTGCAGACTAACAGCCTCATGTTCATATATCCAACATACTAGTGTCTTACTGCATAACCAGCGCCATGTTCATTTACTAAGGTCTGCTAGTACTCATTCACAAAATCTTATCTACAGTTAACTCCTTTATACGCCGGGCTAATGTGTGTGACAGAAGATAAGCTACCCCGGCCACCTTGCACAGAGGATTTTGCTAAAAATATGGGTCTGAAAAATCTTATAGAGGTAACGGTTGATCGAAGCTGGTCACAACAGGAAATTTTCCGGAAATCAATCTGAAGGCCCAACGGTCGGGTGTGTATTCAACATTATACTGGTCATATTACGACACACCAAGGAGAAAAGCCTTGAAACTTACTTTGTACACTGGTATTAATCTTACAAACAGTTCACAACGGTATTCTGTCAAAAATGACGTGATTATTCTAGTGTCAACAGTATGGCCCATCCGTCAGAACTTAAGGGAGGCTACACTAAGTCGGCTCAGACAATCGCCGAGGAAATCACCCATGCAAACGTCTATAGTCTGATATCTGATATCTGTGACTTCATACTCGCTCTTCTGCAACAAACAAATTCAATAAGCGTGTTATAATTTGGAATCCTAGCAAATCTACAGAACTGGAGTTGAGCAATCCCGAATTAAATTTATTTGCCATCATTAAGAAGTGAATTAACAAGTTCGGGGAGGATGTTCGTAACAGAATAACACTAGAGAACAGAGAGAAGAGCGGCAAAGTATTTTTGTATGCTTGCAGTAGTTTTGCATCTTGGCAGTAACCCAGCCCTCATCTTTCCTTCGGGCAGCATGGCAGATATGCACCGATAGGGTATTACAGCTGAACAATTACTTTTTTACTTTTAACGAAAATTCACAGCTCCAAATGTTTCCACACAGGGAGTCCGGAAGTGAATCACTGACACAGACCAACCCAAAAACGTCTCCCTTAAACTGTTTAAATCTTTTTACCCTAGTTTGTGTAACCGAAAAATGCTCGAAAATACACACTAGAAGTGTGGCCTTCTTCTCTATAACTGATGAGCTTTACATCACAACGGAATGAACAACATATGGAGTAAGTTCCACCTCCCCTGTACTAATTCTTAGGTGCCATTCATAATGTGGTATGTGGTAGCCTAACCTATTCACGTGTTAATGACTGGTTTTAGAGAATAATCAGTTGGTTGTGGGAATTCGATGAACTTGTAAAATTTACATCCGACAGAATGACTGCAACCTGACAGAAGGAAGATTGGGCAGTGAGAATGATCAATCAACCAAACTAATACCAGTGCTTTGCTTGAGTTATTTATTCATTCGATTATTTATCCGAACCTATTTGTGACGGCTGGCATTTCATTAAACCCCAGTAGCTAGTCTTCAGTATATCTGTTGGTATCAACCTCGCTAGTCGTATTATAAAATGACGAACAAAATTTCAGTTGCCAGCTGTTTTGAAACACAAACGACTCAACACGGTCGATATCAACTACATTTTGGATTCTCAACTGTGGATGCTGTTCGTATAAGTGTGCTCAAAATACCTTATTAGAGAAATGGGCCTTATCCCATGGGCAAAAATAAACCAATTTCACTCAAAACCAAGTGTTTATTTTCAACTTTTGAATTAATTTTCTATATAACCCCTCACTGAGACCACCGATTAGGAGAAACGAAAGCAGTAAGCTTTTTGGAAAAGTCCACAACTAATAAAATAGCTACAGTGGACAAACCAATAGTTGACTGTTCTGGAAACGTTAATTGTACCAAAGGTTTTGGGTTATTTTTCCTCTTCCCTCCTTGTTTTCAAAACTATCAAGTTCAAATGGCTTAGACGTTCCCAAGAAGATAAAAAAGGATATGCATATTGCTTCCCTCCAGCACTTCCTCACGGACTATCGAGAATCGTTTGACTTGCCTGGAAGAGCATTCCGAATGGGTTTCTGCGCCCCACATAACTGAATCTGGGTCCTGTCTGGTTGTGTAAATAGTATTTTGGCCGATATTGCCGGACAGGAAGTTGAGAACCTTTCCTTGAAGTAATTTCAGTTGGCATTTCCATTAGCAAAAGCGCCTTAGATCTCTTACACTCGTCAAATGTCCTAACCTAGTTGTATGTATGGGCAAACTTACTCATACCATGTTCTTCTGGTTTGTACATTTCATGACGAGACACGGCAATCATGCTGTAAAACTCAAAACGAAGTGACCACTTTAGCAGATACAAGCATAAGAAGACACTATTCAACTGCAGTGCCTTTCCAGTGCATAACCACGAAGTCCACTTTGAAAAACCCTAGCCATAGAAAAACCAGTAGCGGTTTTGAACCTTGAACCTTGCATGATCGCTGTGTGCAAGGTCCAATCAACTCACTTCAGACTTTCGAGCATGTTCTAGCCACCACTGTATGAATGACTAAGTGCTGAGGATTGCCCGTGCCCTATGGAGCAATTGGTACTATTTAGCAGGCAGCGATGAGTAACGAATAAAAAATGTGCGAGTATACTCCTTCAAAACTCACTCTTCGGTTTTTTTGGGCGCATCCGCTTGGCTTCCATCTGAGTGGAAATCGGATGGATATTCACGAATCTGTAATTCTTGTGATAAAATGCCCTCACAAGGGTCGGGACTCTCGTTTTCTTTTTTGAATGGTGACAAGATACGTTCTATCTCGTCCCTTGAATCACTTTTAAGTTTAATATATTCAGCCAAAGCTCGATTTTTGTGAGCCGTGTCACTCATCCTTTCTAGCCGAACTTGGAGACGTTTTTCAAGGGCCCTCAAGTGGTTTCGGTCGTTGAGGTAGACGACACAAGTTCCCAATTCTTGCTCCACACGCTTTCGTTGACCAGTAATTGATGAGTGGTGTATCAGATATGCGGCATTTGGATTAAGACAAAATGGTATCGTATTTCCCTGTCGATATCGAGCTTCTAGTTGCCAAGACGCAACCTCTGATGGCACTGAGGTGCGGATTCCTCTCGTGTACTGAGAACTTGGGCTAACTACTTTGATTGTTTTTGCTCGCCGGCTTTCCGCAACTGATTCGGTGCTATCGCCTTGTTCACTGATCCATGATAGTTTTCGATAGTCGGGGTGTGATAAAGAATGCGAGGAAAGATCCTTACAATAATGGTCTGCTTTGTCTCTGGCACACGCCACTGTTTCTGCGTTGTCGAACGAATCTTCATGAAAATCCCCTCGTGTGGCTATCTCCTTGAATGGCTGTAAGATGTCCGGTTCGGGGAAATTAGCACAGAGGTTCCTAGTTTCCTCTTCAGGAACATAGTCTGTATGCCCAAAAGACATACTAGAGTGGATTTTATGGAGCCTCAGGACTGGTGCAGGGTCCGCCATCCTTAATGAGCAAGGCAATCCTTCTGTTACACTCTATGAAAGCACGCACATTACGCCACGTGATTAGATCGACCAATTCAATTTCGGACGAAACATCCAGTCAGCTGACTTCAACTTCTCCTCAGTCTACTCTTATTCAACTGCTCCCTATACTAACGACAGGAGATATTGTGGTATAGTAAACAGATGGACAGAGACAAGACGAGACAGGATCTCGTCATTTCTGTTACAACAGGTAGGAAGAGCCCGTTCGCGTAGCAGCAAAGTTAATCCGCCGTTTTCTCAGCAACTAATTAACGGTCGTCGTATCCAGCGGTACAGAACGCCTAACCGGTTGCACTTGTATTTTAAAGTGAAAATTTATCCATACTGTATTATTTTGCCCAAAAATTATCCGGTCAATACCCAAACAGCAAGTACTAACGGACAAGATCCAAACCCTGAATAAATATTTCCCGACCGGAGACCTCGTCTAATAGTGCCATCAAGAACGTACGTTTAGAGTTTGAAAAAAGTTCGAAAGTATGGCCCTTCTGCGTCTGAAGGCTGCATTTCGACAATATACAAGAGAGTTGATGAGTCAGGCGAACCCGGACCATGGGTGGGACGCACACCCTCAATCGGATTGAAAGCGGTTGGCCCGAAAGTCGACTGTAAAAACCTCTGGGTAGCCAAAACTTACGCTCAAGCTCGTATTTCTGATACAATATTCTCTTCGAATTCAATTCCGATGTGAGACGTGAGATGATTCGCAACTGAGGTCCTGCTTGAAAACGAATCGCTGGAGTTTTTCGAAGACGCGTACCAATTTAATCGAAATTGTTATGATACTAAACTCAATCTTTTTTTATTCTCCAGGTCGGGATTTTCATAGCTATATCTCCATCAAATGAACAGAGTCACTTTTGATCTGAGGTAGCCTATTAACTTCCACATTTAAGTGGCTGTGTTCTGATCAACCACCAGCAATTGTTGGTGCTACCCATTGCATCGCGTATTCCACGCTCAAGGCGGTAAAATGACTTTTGCAAACACTGTGCATCAGCGAGTAACCGGCGACCACCCGGTGAGAGTCGGTAAGATGGAAGATAGGATGTTCAGAGGAGAGCTGAGCTAATGCTGGGCATAAAAAAATACCATAATGACCAGTCAGCTTTCTGCTAACTCCTACCAAGCGCCTCTTGTTTTATGTGCGACAGCACGCACTCTGTGGCTGCAAAGGTACAGTCTGACATGCTATAACAGTAGCTGACTTATGCGCTTCGTCCGTTATTGTATTTACATGTGGCTGAGCTTCAGAGTAGGCGTTACTCTGAAGAAGAATTACGTTCAGCTGTAGCCGATGCCTAGCTGCCGTACCACCAGAAGGAAACACGAGGGCTGGGATACTGTCAGGTCGCCCAAGCCTAGACAGGGGAAGTCGAGTGGCAGAGGTCGGTCAGTAAATTCGCGCTCTAACCACTCGCCCCAGGCGTTACTCTGCGAGCTTAAAATGTTGATTTCAACTTTGCCGCCATAACTGCACTAAGACCATTGTTCTGGATCTGCTGCGGTTCCGACAACCGTCCAAAACAGTAATATCCCATAAAGATCGTTTTCATCTGATATCACAAGATTCAGTTGCAGCAGATAAACCACCACTCAACAACAAGAAGACAGAAGGAAAAATTTTGCATTTACAATCTGTCTATGATTAGTATTCGCTGTCGACGGGGTCCAATGTACAAAACAGATTGAGAAATATAAATGATACAAATAAACAAAGCAATACCAAAATTAGGGTCTGTAGCCGCAGTTCCACCGTCACTCCGAAGGCGACCAGCCTGAAAAGGTTGGAAAATATGCATTGCAAATCTCGATAAATAGAATCTGCTTTTGCGTAAATGAAATGAAACAATGCTTGGGCTTGTCAACTCTTGCATTATTACCAGGTTTAGAGTGCAATGATGAAAAACATACAGATTTTTAAAACTGTATCGATTTAATAACATGAATTTTGATGCAGGTACTAAGGGTTAGTTTTAGATGCAGTTGTCCTCATTCAAAGTATTACCTGAAGGAACCGATCAGAATTGGCGTTTTTTAAGACCGATCTTCTTCATTTACACTGTTCAAAAGAACACTACATAGCTATGGGCTTCTAAATGCGCGGAAGCAATGAAGATTAGCCACTTGACTAGGCCATCTCACCCATATGTGTTTCCAAAGCGTAACGGTCGTCAGTCGATTCTACAGGATGCATGGTGCAGTACAGTTGGCTATGTTTGGGATAGAGCACGAACAAAGAGAACGAGGTTCCCGAACACCATCACCTGAGATCCGTTATTAAATACGCGCGTAAGAGTTCGGTGCACTTTTTTGTATCGGGAAAGAATTCTCAAGATAAAGATTCAGAGAAGGAAACTTGATCATTCGCTTCAATCAGGTGCAACAAATGGGAGAGTGAAACAGCTGCAACTTACATTCCATCGCAAGGGACCACAATCAAGCTGTTGACAAAGTGATCAGCCTCTGATGTCACGTCGCTCGAATGGGTAAACGGGATGACGATCGGTTTTCCAGTCGGATGACTCGGCAATCGATGCGTTGCGAGTAAGCGTCCCGAGTGAAGATCCACCAAACTCAGAGAATCCCAACCAACGGATACCAAAGCTGACAATGCAATTAGCTTGTCAGTGGACTGATAGAATGAAATCACAGTGATGAGACCAAGATAGCAAAGGATAATTTTTATGCCGAAACTACAAATTGGCAAAAAACTCATTCTCGCGGCAATCTCGCAAGGCGAGTTGGCCGCTTTCAAGTAGCTCAACTACTACTTAATCCCTACGTTGATTCCTTGATAGTTGCGTACTATGCTCAGTGGTTCTGCTCAATGGTTCGTTAATGAGATACGGTGTTATCACTGATGTTGCTACTCTGTTGTTGATGATGATGATGTTGATGATGATGATGATGATGATGACCGACCCGTTGTGCTTCAATGGTCATTCTACTCAGCTTTCTATAGATTTCTCTCCGTTTTGTAGGCCGAAAAGAACTCTCGCCAATCAGTCAGCTTCAAACACAACCCGCCCTTAATGTTACAAAAACGTAGGAGTCCACAACGACCACTCACATCACTCCTGTCACAACATCAAATCCTCACCAACTCAGTGCTCTCGAGGGAACCCATACTGGTTGTTGGTCTGTCCGCCAAGCTTGGCAACTAACTGGATTGCAAACGCTTCATCACCAGTCGAGGTGACATCGTTAGTGCCCACTCGGTGACTCACTCAAACCCGTACTGATAACGTCACCACGACAGGTAGTGAGACATTTGCAATCCAACTGCCAAGCTCGACGAACAGACCAAAAACCTACCTATATTCCATAACATTGCCAGGAGCCCATTATTAGCGCACGGTCGATACTAAACGAGTAATTGTTGCTGGCATTTTTTTCCCATTTAATTTGCACCTACACAAAAAGGTATCCAACTCATCTCGTTCCACACAAGGACTCATTGAGCAGGTGTTTTAAACGACAATGGGTGCTTTTTATAAGGGCTCATCTGTCAAAACAACTTGAGAGGAATGTTCCTGTTAACAATTTTCAGTCTGAATTGCGTCGATCTGGTGCCAAAATTACGGTATGCAAATTCAGGACATCCAATCGAAAAGCTATAGAATATAATCCTAGCTAGAGTACATAACACAGCGTTGCATATTGAATGGCGGTGAAGCAAAACCAATTTAAGTTGATCTCTACCTTTTTCGAACAGACACACCAAATGTGAATTACAAGGGTATCATGCTATAACTACAGTCGAATTAAGTCCCAACGCGACTTCTCAACGTTAGTGCTCAACACAGCCTCGCCTTGAAGTTGGTGCGAGAGCGCTGTCCTTGAGTGTACAATACAGAGAGCTTATTAAGATACCAGGCTTCCCCAAGTCTGAGTCGATATATACAACTTCGTCCTCCATTGACCATAACAGAGGTTGGCCACAGATGATGAATAATCCTTGACCAGAATTCATAAGGGGTTCACGAGGTTGAAGCTAAGTGGGTGGACCTTGTCTGTCTAAAAAGCATCTTATTTGTAAAAAGGTTTATAAAATTAAAAGAAAACCTGACGAACTACAGTTACAGCTCCCAAATTGGAAAAGGTGAACCTCAGCTTGATCTTCCCACATTAGGGATTGTTTACGAAAACTCACTGTGGTCCTGTGAACAGGGCGACGCAACTGCCCGGGAGCTAACAAACTGCTCCAAGGCTTCATGCCGAAAGGACGGAGACGAACAGCCGAAAGACTTGGTACAAATTGTTTGGTGTACATTTCATGCAGATTGTGATCGTCGGAAGAACCTCCCGCAACGGTTCGAGAAACCTGGAGCCATGAAACTTCTGCGTTCAGCTGAGAATAAAGAAACACAAAATGTGGTTGTCTATGGATCAGACTGATAATGACTACACATTTATTCTGAGCAAACAGCTGAGCATAGCTCCTCCATAAGACTGAAGTGCTAGGCAAAGTTGAAAGAGAATCTGCCTCCGTACACTGCCTATACGACTGGTTAGCACTTGCTGACCATATATGTAGCATACTTGGACAAAAAAGAACACTTGAATATCATGAATATCTATCTTGAATATCTTGAATATATCTTGAATATCTATCCTAATGAGCAGTGTGGCAGCCTCTGCACCACATATTCAATTGAAGAAAATAGGCAACAGAGTTATTCGAGTTTGACATTCACCTAGCCCTAGTTATCATATGACCGTTTAACCCTCTCCTTCGAGGATGGAAAAATGAGCCGAAGGCTGTGTGACATCTTCCGACTCATCGGAAATCCATTTCACTAAGCAAACTTTTTCGAACATTGGGGACGCATGTCATGAAACGGTAAGACGCTCGTTATTACATCGGAAAACAAGGAAGCGGATGTGCTCGCCCATACCGCATGAGTTAATACAACTCTGGACAAACATCAATTGTGAAGTCTACATTCTAAAATTTTCACCCAGCTCTCCTGCATACTTGACCAATCAGGATACCGTTCTTCTTCAAAGTGTACAAAAACCGCAGCCTCACAGGGAACGATAAACTCTGACTTCGAGAGACTCCTACAAAGGAAAGAAATTTGGAACACGAAAATGATAAAGACACAGAGGGCTATCTTTCGGTAAAACTATGGGGTGAAGAAATAAAGGTTGGAGGTGGGAAAGATGGGCGGCAGGGTCGTAAGTGGGACACCTTGAGGAGGGCACCTGAGATACGCAACAACTTCGCTTACAAGCGGTAGTTGCCTTTATAAACATGTGCGAAGTAGCAAAAAATGACTAAGAATGAGGAAATCAGGGGTAAGCTCTCAAAAACGCCGCAGTAAAAAAGGTAGAGTACCACATCTGGTCGATGGGAGAGAGATTTCGCGCTGTCAACTGCCGACTGGCTGTCGACAAGGTGGACGGGTTTCCAAAGCATTCGATGCGATATGTCAAGGCGGGTTGAAGGAAGGCAAAATTTGACACTGAGGTGTTAGGCGCGTCCGGGTTGTTAAAACTAATGAAAGCTGGACAGAGCAAATCATCATCCTGATTACCAGATATCAATACAGTTGACAAGGACGACTCACTCGCATACAACGACGAAGTTTCAACCACAATGTTTCAAGTCCCCAAGTGAGAAAAAAACAAAGTTGGATGGGGAAGTTGCCCGATGCTAGTCTACTACAATTACTCTGATGTGTCTACAAGTCCAAATGCTCTATCGGAAAGAAAATGACAACATGAACGCCGCAATTTCTCGCAACATCTTCAGCCAAGAAAAAGGAAGGTTACGGGGAACCCACCCTGGAAAACGGATCACGCCAATCACACTAAACTCTTCGTATTCTTTACACATCTTTTACAAGTCACACGTTGCCCAACTCACAGATTGCAGCATTCTGAAGCATCCACGAAGATTATTACCAGTCTCAGCAAATGATGCTTCGGAATGCGTAACGCATGCCAAGCCACCGCACTCATGGTGCTGGATTTTTTTCGCAAATGAAATAACTGCTGCGCAACCTTAGATCCCCTTTCTATTTAACTCGTTATGAGTTCATCGACACCATCCGATACCTGAAGACGTTTCAGACTAGTTGACTCACAAACACAACACAGCCCTTACTGTACCCGGTACACGCGACCCCCAGGACCCAGCGATATACTCATTGACGAAACGTAATTCGGGAACGTTATACTGAATTCAGCGGACACATCGCAGTCAGAGCCACTGCAGCCACCGCGGTATGTTATATTTTCCACAAACACCAGTGAACCCGAGGTACGTTCAAACTACACGTTCCAAATCATGTTTCCACGCTTTCTTGGTGCAAGCGACATATCGGAAAGTGGTGTTATGATGGTTAGTTCATATAACAGAGCTTGCGCCTCGACGTTATTCTCAAAGACAAGCACGATTTCGTCTGCATCTGGAGCGATGTGGACCCTGTCGCGTTTGCCTCATCATTTCATCACTGACGGAGGTGAGAGGAGAGTTGACGTTCTTGCTAGGCACCACTCTGAAGTAAAAGTATGGGAGAGCTCCGCCTACACCTTCACATGCCCGGAAGTATGAAAATCCGAGTATAATCATGAGGTTTCGCATGCCGCCCTAAAACGACGAAGAATCAGTGACGCCTGAATCCCTGTTGCGATACGGGTTTAACAGATACTTGTGAGGTTACCATATTCGTTATGGGTACTCTTTTTGGAGATTAGTTCGGACGGCTTCCGAAAGATGCGAATTGATTATACAGGCATTGATTAAGGAATCGACACGTCGTTGTACAAAGGATGTCGGGAAGGTAATGCATCATCATCAATGACAGCAACATCAGTGTTGGCACTGATGCTTCACTGCCGTACTGCTTAAATAGAAATAGTCAGTGGAATACTTCTGAGGCTGTGGGGTTTCCGTACTCGCAATCGTTTTTGTCGAAGGCTGACAGTCCAGACGAGATGCAGTAGGTGGTCAAAGGAGTTGTCATTAAATAGAATTTCGACCAGCGGTCAAAAGGGCTTCTTCGGATATGATATCCTGGACCCTGGAACAGAATTCTGAGGATGTGTTAAATGAATCAAGTGGAACAACCTGCGGATAGTTCCAACATTTACTATACATTCATTCCGTCCTCCTTCTACACACCCATGTACACGAGGACACCTAGTTTTACGTGGCGTCTGATTAGGCGTCGAACAGAAAACCGATAGAATCTGAAAGGTAATTTTGAGAGACGGAAAACGAATTGGAAAAAGCCCAACAGAGAAAGACAGACCCAGGATGGATACACTAGGTAACGAAATGACTGAGTCAAATAAAAGCAACTAAACGAGGGTCAGGTTTAAGTTCCCTTTGTTCTTAGTTCGCAATTCATAACCTTAGCGACATCGGTGTTGACGCTGACACTAGAGACGCTACGACCCTGAGAATACTGGCTGCTTGTCAGCCGATGCGAAAGGTAGGGAAATTGTCATGTGAGAATGTACGGGTTAATGAGGGGAGGAAATCATTGACATAGTGTAAAAGAAGAGTCGGGAGAAGTATGGAACTCCTACATTGACGACCGTTGAGTTACAGAGCTCATCGTCGACGGACAGGGCCACTGACCGTCCGAAAAAATGCCAATACAAACGACAAGTTTCTTTCGTAAAGCAGAAAATTGGGTTGGCGGAACGCGAACTAAAGGCTTGGATAAGTTCTATCGGATAGCACCAGCTTCACCAAATGAGTCTACAATAGAAAACTAGATGGCATAGAAGAGACAGAAGACAGCAAGATGCAGGTCGATCTGCTTTTTCGAAATTCAGAGTGGTGATCAGTGACGCGCTACCAGTGCTCCAGGATTATCAGCCGTGGTTTAGTGACGATAAATTTCATTAATTCTTGCAGCGCAGAGGTCGGATAATTATTTGAATGGAATGTGTCACCTTGTCTGAGAACCCAGAGAAAACAGGATGAAGAAATAATCTAACGACACGGCAGCCATATTTACAGGTTCAAGCACAAATTTCTCAGAAAAACCGAAGGGATGACGTCCGATTATGGAGGCTTGAAATTACAAAGGGAATGTAGGACTCGGTGGATTTTTGAGAAAAGGTAAGGGTTTTTAGATTAGCTGGAACTGGGAGGCAGTGACGGACATGACAGATTGATTAAAACTATTGTTTTCCATTAGGGAATGATTGGATCATGTCAGCGTCGGATGATATGAGGAAAAGAAGGGCAAAACGTACCGGTAGAAAGTTTTGCGGTACCTAAAAACGAGAGGCTACCTGGCTTTCGTTTCACAAAGGCTGATTTGGCCTTGTCCTTATAGGCTTGGATGAGGTACGTTGTAGGAAGCCGGAGTAAAAAAGGAGAAAGGTGGCAACAATAAACGTTCAATAAACGTTCAGAAGACAACTGGCCGATTTGAGAAGTCACAGTCAATTCAATTTCGATTTATCAGCTGTAAACCGTGTGTTATAGGCTAGATCCAGTTGCTAAAGTTCCGATCACCGAAAAACGGGAAAAAGGCACATAGAACCAAGCCTTGGAGGCGAAGGCATGTTTAGTTTGTTCGGAAATTGGGTAGCTACGCATTGAAGGCGATAGCTTTGATGTGCGAGCACCACTGACTGCGCAATTGGGCCACTACCACCAATATCATTAACCACTGGTGATTTGAGTCCCAGGGCCCGCATCCAGGAAAGTGGCAGTTGCCCACCCGACTAAGTTTACTAGCAAGTGTTTTTGTACTTCGTTGCCAGGTCCTGCATTGTCCACATATCGGTCGCTTCCACTCAGCAGACGGCTGGGAGAAAAGAGCTCTGTGAGGCAGACGATCTTCTGGCATGCGCAGTACACGACCTAACCAGCGCAACCTATGAAGCGTGAGTAATTCATCTATCGTGGGAGAGTTCCTTTTTCCGAAGACCATCTGGCGTACTTCAGCGTTACTAATCCGATGTTGCCACCGGCCCTGACCAATGCTGCGAAGACACCAATGACCAAACACTGTCATCTTCCGCATTTCCTCTGCGCGTAGAGGCCACAAAGCAGTATGGATCGCACCATCGCCGTGTAAACTCTTCCCTTGATAGACAAGCTCACGTCACGTCGGCGCCATAAATGTCAGAGATTGGCTAAAGCTTCCCTGGTCCATTCGATTCGAGAAATAATCTCATCTCCAGCCGCTCCACCGGAACGTATACAGCTGTCCAAGCAAACAAATTTATCTACCACTTCGATTGACTCACCTGAAAGCATGAGGTGTGGATTTGATCCCACCTAGTCTTGTAGCAGCCCTTTACACTTTGCATGGATTTTATCAACAGGTAGTTCATCAGTGTCGGAAGTCCCTGTTTACTTAGTTTATCAGGTGGCTAACCAGTTCTCCAGCCACACTATGTTATCGGTCTGGGAAAATCTACATGCCGGGTTCAGTTCACGGAAGATGTGTAAAGTTCTTGAACGTCCTCCGACTGATCTGGTAAGAAGCACACCAA